ACTTTGTTCCAAGGTGATGAAAGGCATGATCAGACACAGTCAACCTAAAAAAGATGTCACATTGTGGCTAACTATGTACACTCCACTTTACCCCTGTAAAGCAAAATCCTTATATTTTGTTAAATCACTGATGAAAGAGAATGGCATCCATGAAGAACTCACCTCAAGGTGTGGCATATAGCAAACTTGCATTCTGTGTCAGCAAGCATCATTACTGTCATTTACCTCCCCCAGTGACAGAGACAATCAAGCTACCAAGAGTTTGCTGAGGACCCTTTAAATACAACACATTGGACTGAGTGGGAATCTCTGACTCTGTATGATCCTTTCCCTCTAGTTGGGAAGTCTGTCCTAATTATTAGACTGCAGTATAACTTCAACAGTCTTCACTCTAGAATGCCTGGCAAAGGCTTTAGGCTTAAACATGGGGGTAGAGGTGAGTTTTGAAAAGTAGAAAGCATGGGGTTGTTCAAAAGACAAGAAATAAGACATGAAGATGAGGAACGCAGCAGGAGACGCTAGGTAGACGTCAACCGAGAACAGACTTAACAGTGCACAGACCAGGGAATGCACAGTTGCCTGCCCAGCCCACCCACACCTCAGCCTTTCTGCTGCTCTTACTTACAGCCTTCCCTGCTTCAACTCCCTCTTTGTTGCAAGGAAAGAATAATCTCAAAGAGTTATGGACATGAAGTCTGTGTTCCACTAAGCAGTGTGACGGTAAGAGAGGGCTGCCTGTCAGAAATATATGTACTTTCTATGTATTCATTTCGGTACAAAATCTTGGCACATACTAGTGAAGCCTTCAGGGATACGATGGTGCATATTTATGAGTGCCTATGTGAAGGTTCTGGGAGTAATTCCTTTTTCAATACATGCACTGATGGCCTATTGTGTTTTGGGGATGGATAGCACTAACACGTTAGTATCAATACTTATACAGAGGACAGAGAGGCTCAGTGTCTCTTATCAAAGAAGTTTCTGTACCTGTCTCCTTCCTGGCAGGGATTCAGAGATCATCAGCAGGTAAAGAGCCTTAGCTTCAGGGAGGCCTCACATCATGAAAAGTCACATGGCCGGTGAACAGCAGAGTCCTGGCTCAACCCTGAGACTTTAGATTGTGACTCCAAGGTTCTTTCCATCTTAAAAAAGTAATACTGTAACCAAATAAATCTATTTTTTCATTCCCAGAAGATAATTTTCCTAATTTTTGGAGCATAACCATCCTTCCACTGCATAAATTTATACATGCAAACAGGAGTTCACCTGATCATGCTTAGCTTGCTCTATGAGACCGTTTTTAAACACTGAATCCAGTTGCATTGCTTTGTCAAGTGTTACTCTCATTAAAGCAAATACCAAATTAAAGAGCAATCCTTACGCAGACTATGTAACATCCCACTCTCAAAACAAAACAGATACAAAGAAAAGGGAAACCCCAGGTGCTTGTACTAAGAAATTGCTTAGAGTTCATATTAAATGATTTCCAGTCTTTGTAGTATCTTTTTCTAGACTTTGAACAGAGAAACTCTTTTATTATACAACATGAAAACAAGTATGGGCAGTGTATAGCAGTGTTCTTGTTACAAGCCCAAATGGAAAGCAGCAGAGTATGTATCTTCATTTTGCAAGTTATTGATTCTTAAAGGTGAACTGGGATATTTTGTGCATTCCTCCCCCGCCCCCACCCCAACTATGAGGAGGAGAGATGTTGAGAGGAGCAGGGGAAGGAAGACATGCACTCCATTTCACTCACAGACACACAGGCTTTTACTTTCTCCTTCCACAGGACCAACAGCTGCCTCAACTCCTCTGTTTCTTTTCTTAAGGGAAATAAATGCTTTGGATCACACAACTACTTTTAGATGCCACAACCAATTCTATAGCGAAAATAATGTACACTCTGCTCATGAGGCTTCACGTCAGTCAGGAGCTGTGCCACAAAGTAGACCATTGTTTTTACAGCTATGGAGGAGTGAGCCCTTGCCTAACCCTGACTTCGTCATCTTGTAAATTGTAAATGTTCCTGTCATTGTCTTTCTTGCTAAGTTTTCCATCAAGGCAACAATATGGCCAGATAATAAGTGCAATATATTATTATAGTTTTTATTTTGTTTTTTTAAGACCTAGCCTCATCATGTGGCCAAAGTGATTGGAAACTTGCTGGCATCAAACTCTTGGCCTCAGACTTCCAAGTGCCCTTCCATTCCTGGCTGGCATTATTCCTAAGAATTCAATCTGCTAATTCACCCACACCAGAGAGTTTTAAAAATTAGAGCATTAATTAACAAACTACTTTTTCATTGGTGTTCAAGAAAGTCAGCTTTCCAATGATTTCTGTTCTCAGTACTAATTTTTCTAATTACTCTCTGAATTATGCAGCTCCCATGCTATTGCCCAAGTCTGTCTATTCAATTTGCACACCAAACTAGTTTAGTCCATTTGCAATTTCCTGTCTGTTCAGCGTGTTTATAGTAGCTGTCCAAAAGAAAACCAACAAGTACAACCAACAAAGTACTATTAATACAAATACGTGAGAACTTTTCAATTACAATTCAAATCTGTTAATCCATATTTTTCTCTTTTCCACAGAAAACATGATGGCACAGATAACAGCAGTACCACTGGCTGGTTCTACCAGGAGTCAAGGAGCCAAGGAAGCTTCCTCTTTACATCACTGTCAGAATGCCCTGAAATTTAGGGGCCTAAAATAAGTGGTAAACTTTTTTGCAGGTTAGGTATTAAGATATTTGTTCATTCAAACTTTTTTTTTTTTTGGTTTCTCTGTGGTTTTGGAGGCTGTCCTGGAACTCTCTCTTGTAGACCAGGCAGGTCTCTGACTCACAGATATCCACCTGCCTCTGCCTCCCTAGTGCTGGGATTAAAGGTGTGCGCCACTGTTGCCCAGCCCAAACTTTGTTTTTAATACTTATCTATTTAGTGATAACTCTCTAAATGCACTCTACAGCTTGAGAGTTTGAGCCAGGAGAGTCCTAAATCTAGAAGAATGACTGTGACAAATTACAACTCTGCATAGCATCTCTTAACAAATGTGTATTTCTATCCAGACTCTTCTAAAGCTTTAGTCTTATTCAGTCTAAGAGGCGTGAGTGACAAAGGTGCTAAAATACACAAAGGAAACACACCTACTGCTGTGTCCAGTAGACTCTAGCTCCTTACTTGGCAGATGTACACGGATGATGACAGGTGTTGCACATCACTGGTAAACCACTGCTTTATAGTCCTACGTCAGACAGAATGGGAATGTTTGATACAAGGATTCATTTCTTTTAATATGTCAAGAAATAAATGTCTATTTTAGTATATTCCTATTCTCCAAGTTAGTTTAGTTATCTTAGGCACACTTTAAATCTATTCTCCAAGTCAGTTTAATTATCTTAGGTATATTTAAAAGGTTCTAACTTGGAAGTAGACAACTCCAAGGGAAAACTAAACTGTTTTAAGAAAGAAAATATTTTCCATTTACCAGTTAGCACTTTCCCACAAGAGTTGAAACAGTGAGGTAATGTTGTCTTAACTTCATTTTTTGAAGAATGATATTTGTCAGAAAACTATTTTCTGGATTTGAGTAGCATACACATGTTAACACTGCAGTCAGTTACTAGCATCTGGCAGGATTTAAAACTTGACTAGAATTATGAAAAAAACCCAACTGAATGGATATACATATCATGAAGGCATATACTATTAATTTCATTCAAGGAAATGGGTATTAGGGTCAGATATGCCAAGAAAGTCTACAAATTTCAATTTCAGGCATGGTATCTTTTGTAATTTGATTTCATGACAGCCAAAGCCTTAACTGGTTTATTTAACTGAGCTGCATGAAGTAAAGGGTATAGTGATGATGTTTGAGGAAACGGAATGATTGTTATCCACCTGCCAGTGCTGCCCAAAGGCTATTGTGTGAGAGCCATGCACTATTACAGGAGTGCCCAACAGTCCTGAGAAATCTGGGAAAACAAAAGGAACACTAAGAAAACAGTGACTTGTTAGAGTAAGCCAGGGAAGGGGAGCGAAATGGATGGGTAAGAACCAAGTATAAGGACATGTTTGTATGAAAGCACCATAATGAAACCCATTAATTGTCAAGCTAGCTTTAAAAATTAAACAGAAAAAAATGAGTGAGGAGACCACACATCTAGTAAGCTTCTAGAGACGGCATCTGGAGGCCACTGAAAATAATTATGTCCAAAAGAAGGCTAAATAAACTTCCTCAAGGTAAGATTTATGAGGAAATTTCTGGTTATATAAATTGACTTTAGGAAGGAAGTTTGATGTTCACTCTTCACAGAGTGACAGCAATAAACCAGATGAGGTAACTTTTGGGATTACTTTAGCCCAGAAACTACACATTTACAGGCATATGTTTTCTTTGTGAATATCTTTAAGGGGAATGTTAGCATAAAAGTTAGGAGAAAAGATAAAAATAGCTCAACAACAGGCCACATAGAGACATCAATTGTATAAAGCACACAAAATAACATCTAACACATGACATATCACATGCTTAAGCATGTGCACATTCAATTCCTTGGGGCTTAAAAAGCACAAGAATTAAATAGGGAAGCAATTCATCCTGGAACAGTAGGATACAGGAAAAAAGGTACCAAAAACAATTTGGTATTGGATCTTCACAAAAGTATCTTTAATTGTCTAGGTGGTTGTTAAATGTATATACACAATGAAAGGAGGAATCAAATATGTATTTTTAGTATTTCGTTTTGGCTTTGTTAATTCTCCACAAACTTAGTCTGAAGGATAAAGAAGGAACTTCTCAACCAAAATGACATTAATGAATTCTGTTGAAATCGGGAACTTAATTAGTATCTAAAGTTAGACAACACTAAAACATGGCCACTCTTTGTATCCAAGTGCAAAGTCCTAGTATTTGGTGAATTTATTTAAAAAAAAAACAGCTAACAGCATGTTCTCTTTTAAAGCAAGCAAAACAATCATAGTCATAGGATAACACCTACTAGAAAGAAATGGTCTTTAATATAATCTTTAACATATTAAAAAAAACACAAGTGGCAAATCAATAAGGATCCTTCCATTATTCTTTACACAGATTTAAATGCTGTCTTGTAATATACCAGTTATAATCAGTAACCTTCTAGTCACTGGGATTGGAAATTACAGTATTTACCGAGCTAAACTCTTTCAGAAAATAAGGCACGACTACATGATCACAAGTAGTAAACACAATAAAATAATGAACCCCAAACCAGAGGAGAAAATACTCATGCAAAAGTATGTACAAAGGCTATGGGTATATGATCCAACGCAGAGAAACACAGAATGTCAGACTTGTGGCTGGACCATGTTACAGGAAGTTCATTACTTCTCACAGAAAGAACACAGTGGTTTTTCAATTCTATTTTATACAATTTTGCATAAATTCAGCAAGTTTATACACACTATTCACATGTGCAACAATTACAATTTGACCATTAAAATTCAGGCAAAGGGCAATTAAGACACAGCAATGTGTGGCACATAATAATTATAGAATATCATTCACCAAGCTTACTTCTGGGAGTATTAAATTGATGGCACATTTAAATCTTATAGATAAGTTATCCGTGGTTTTCATAGCCAAAGTGCATTAAAAAAAACCCTAGAGTTAAACAGGTCACAAATATCAAAATATACAACTGTCATTTGCCTTCCACTTTAGGTTAAACATCTTATGCAAATGCAAGAGTAAAAAAGTAGTCACAAAGACTTCAAAACTATAAAAAATAACCATAAAGACCTTTAAAGGGGGATGGGAACATAAATTTGGCAGTTGATATTTAATATTACCATAAGGAACTATTACACTAGCTAATTCCACTTTAAGAGGTAGTTGAACAAAATGTTTATTTGTACACTGCACTGAGGTTTTTGTGTTTCATTCTTTTCTTTCTTCAAAAGGAATATGTCATATATTGGCAGTTCTGCCTGCTTTCTATGATAACAATTCTGTATATACAGTTTATTGTACACAAACCCACCACAACTTGATTTTAACTCACATTTCTGTGCTGGGCTTTGCAGCTTGCCAATACCTGATGACAATATATTTTGCATTACAGCCAGGAACTGGGATTCTGTATGTGCCAGCTCTAACCCACTGACAATACAACACTACTAGCAAACATCTAAAATATACAGCCAAAAAAGGAACTCAGGAGAGAACTTTTTATTTAAATGAGAAAAAACGTTAAATTTTTGTTTCTAATACATACTAAATTGGTAATAGTTAGAACAAAAAATCATTTGGCTTCATTTGTGTCATTGGTATAGCAGCATGTGGTAGGGAATTATTTGGGACCTATGACATAAGATTAGCTGTGGGGAAACAAGAAAACTACATAAAAGCACATATTGTTTCATTTGTTGCCACTCCCCATTTTTTGTGAAGGGGAGGTGAAGAAAGGGAAGTCTTCAATGCAAAGATGAAATGAACAAGCATTCTAACCCAGAATTCTCATGAAGCAGTGCTGTGATTATTGGATTTTTTAACATACTCAAAGGACTCATATGCAAAAAAAAGTGGAGGACTACTTGAAAGGATTTACAATTATATAAAATGCATAAATAGCAGTATATTATCCAACTGTTATTTTAATAAGGAGCCACTGTATCACTTCATTATATAAGCTCAAGGATATATACGTATCCAAGTCGTGGGACTTAGTCTCCTTAGTAATTACTGACAGCAAGGTTTAACTTTGTTTAGTAATTAAAAATACATGTCAGTCTCCTGTTGTAAGTATGTCCGAAGCATAAAAATCCCAGCATAATCCTGACAGCAAAGTGTGTATTACAAATTCTTTCTTGTAAATGAAGTATTAGCTCTTACTTTTCTCTGCTATTGTTATGAAATGACTGCACTGATTGAATGTGTAACTTTGCATTTCTTCAGAAAGGCAGTTTAACAACTAGTATGCAGTAAGGTCAGTCTTCGGATGCTCTCCCCATCTCCGGCTTGCAGGACTATGAAGTTAAAGCTCAGTCCCATCACTGACAGACAAATGACCTTGGCAACAGGGTCTAGCAACCGGGTTTCCATTATTATCATAATGTAGGAGTTCTGGGGCTATACATACTCTATTCTTTAGCTGTAATGTAATTCCACTGCACTCGTTTGCAAAGTTAAAACATTTCACATGAAGTCAACTTTCCACCTCTCCAAGTATTCTTTCCTAATACACTAGAGAAAATGTAAAGTAGAATTTTAATATTTCCCTACCGCTTTATATTGTCTTCACAGGCAGGACAATAGCAGTATCGGTTCCTATCTTTAAAAAGGCTAAACTGCAGGCATGATTACAGTGAAGCTGAGCTACACTAACGAAGACTGAGCCAGATAAGGAACAGAACATCCATTTAGAAAGCAAACTTCCTGAAGATTCTGGAAGGACACAGTAAGGCTGTAGTGTGAACTAACTTCAGAAGACTTTCCACCAGCAAAAACACAAGACCAGGCCACCACACAGATCTACTACTCACCCTCCAGCTCAGGGTGGGAAGTTTTATACAGTATTTTAGGAGACTGTGCATGGGGGTCTAAAATAAGACAAGAAATACAAATCAACTCTAGTTTTAGCAATATAACCCCAGAAGTACCATAAAGTAAACCATTTAGTTTTACATAGGAGTTCATCAAATCCACTTGAGAATTTAATCAATACTGCCAAAACAAAAACCATGCTTGACTTCATGGTTAGCACATCATTTTAGCATAAACTGCATTTAGGACACTCAAGTAATCAGAGTATAACATAACAACATCATTGAGCCACAAGCGTGTATAACAGAGGGTGTTACACTCCTGTGCATGACTCCAGCAGAACACATAATCACTATTGTTGTGCAACAGAGACACAACAATGCTAACAACCACCCACACATTTTGCACATAATATTTGAAAGGGTGAAATTAAGGAATTGTATTCATCATTTGTGAATAATTAAATTATATTTAAAAAAATACATTGCTATTTTCCATCCAAAGATTATTTACATTTCATTGTCAAATTCTGACCTTGGCGTGAAAGCTGTTTTAGGGATTAAATGGAGAAAAGTAATCAAAACTGAACCCAAGTCTCACAAAAATAGAAGAGTTTTACTTGATACTGGTAACATTCCAAAATATACGAATTCCAATTTGGCCTAGTATGCAACCAGAGTCCAAATCAAATTTATTATAAGTTTAATGTTAGTGTGACACTACTCTGCAGTTGTGATAACCCGTTATCCTTGCAAATCATTGAAACATGCATCACAGACACGAACAGGCTTCTTCGAAGAAGGAGTTAAGGCATTTTTGGCTGAACACTCAGCGCAGAAGATATTTCCACACTGTCGGCAGTGATGCTGTTAAGATAAAAATTAAACAGTTTCAAGCACAAAAGTCATAGCAAAAAAGAGCATTATAAAACGACATGACTGTTACAAGCCACACTGTGTAAACATGCTAACTGATTTCAGTATGCGACTTTTTGACCTATGTAATTTAACCCTTTAACCTGAATGACCACTATGGTAACATTTTAGGTAGCCTTTGCTAGAATTCCATAAAGAACTGTGGGAAATCCTTCTCTTAAAGTGTTAAAGCACCCCTATTGAATGACTATTCCTAGTCTCCAAAAGTCTCAGGATCTCTATCTTCACTTAGAGTTTAAACATAGCAGGATTATTTGTAATACATTTCGTTATCTCTCTGCTTCTGCTTCACTTAAAGAACTCACATATGCTGGGTTGTGACAATGCACCAAGGCTACACAGAGAAATTCTGTCTCAAAAAAACAAAAACTAAAAGAAGAACTTAAACATAACTTAAACACATAAGTTTAATATCTGCCTACTGCTTCAGAAAACAACTGTTACAGAGAATGATCAATAGAAAGCAGTGACTGAATTTAAAACTGAAGTTCAAGCATGTATGATAGCCAAAAACTAGCAAACATTGACTGATGTTTAAAACATGTCACTAAGAAAAGGAATTGTAACAATTATCTAAAGTAATCTGTTATTGATAAAAACTCGGGAGTCACATAGTAGGGCGTGAACCTAGTAGATCCAAAAAGTGATGGAGAAGAACCCAGCTGACCCCCCTCTCTGCTTTTCCAAGATCCAAAAGGGTCTGAGGAACTCCTAAGTCCCTCTCTCCCCATCTGAGCCCACCAAAAGCTCCATGGTTTATTCTGGTCAGCTGAGCGAGGACTCCATCCACTGAATCAATTTCAGTTTATCGAGAGATTCGGGGGACAGAGTGAACAGATCTCCCACAAGAGGGCATCTCCAAATGTAGCTCCATAGAGAAATGGCTCACCCGCCTCACTGTGACTGAGAAGCACTTCCCGCAGGACATACAGTTCTGCACCTCATTGTCTTCTGCCCACTTTCTGTTGAGTGCTTGCGTGTGCTTGATCTGTTTAAACAGTTTTACACGTTAAATTATACAACATTCCACACAATGATGAACTGGTTATTTCTAATTTGTTGTCAGAGATTTACAGAGTTTTAACTTTTTGTCATATGAAATGAAATCTTAGAAGTCCTTTACTCAATTTCCATTTGTCAGACTAGCTACTCTCATAAATCTGAATGGCAAAATAAAATTAATACATTCTTATTCTTCGGAGGCATTGGCAATTACAAAGCTCTGTCAATTTTGTCCCTCTCTTTCACATTTATTGTATTGCAATAATCAATTTTTCCCATAATTGTGAGAGAAAGCTAAATCACCTTATTTTCTGCTTGCTTCCGGTTTTTTTTTGTTTTTTGTTTTTGTTTTTGTTTTTTTTCTTCCAGCCTAACTTCCAACTTGAAGTCATCTCTGTGCCTCTTCCTTCTGAGTGTTAGGATTAAAGTATGCACCACCATGCCTGCTTGAGATCACTTCTTTAGATACTTACCAACCTACTATTTAATACTTTGTGTCCCGAATTTTCTAATTTCTTTCTCTGTAAATATCCATACATGATGTCAGTCTCAAGTGAGAGGTATTTGAAACAACTACCTTTTTATCTTTCATGTAATTACCCATAAAATCTATAAAAATCTCTACATGGATAGTATTTATCTGAAAGTATTTATTCAACATGGGCTTTACTGTCTTGGTTTTCTGTGTGTCCTACAGTTCTAGAGACTAAACGCACATCCTTGCAGATGACAGGCAGATTCTCTACACTGAGCTCCGTTCTCAACCCTGAAGGCTGCTTTCTAACGGGAGGAGATAAAGTAGCCCACACCACCAGCGTCTTACCTGGAGGGACTGATTTTCCCTGCCCAGCTCCTGCACAGCCGCAGTCGTGTTATCCAGCTTCCTCTGCAACTCTAGAACTTTGGTCTGAAGCTTTTCTATTTCCCCTTCTCCTTTAAGACACCTTATGGAATAGATTGTAAAGAGATCATTAATAGTTAAGAAACCATTAAGAACCTTTCTGGAATAGAGGTAATGGACTACGTTGGTAATTTTAAATACAATACATTAATTTCAGCTATTTCTTTTAAAATGTGGGTTTTTAAAAAAAATAATGGCTGCTTACATTCCTCCATTCTTTGTCTAATGGGAAAATGTGGCAAATGACACTCTATTACTTATAATAATTAAACATTTTTTTTCAAGACAGGGTTTCTCTGTGTAGCTCTGGCTGTCCTGGACTCACTCTGCAGACCAGTTTGGCCTCTAACTCAGAAATCCACATGCCTCTGCCTCCTGAGTGCTAGGATTAAGTGTGCATCAGCCGCCACAGCCATCAGGCACAAACTAATTTTATCAGACGTCAATCACCTTTCTAGAAGTGCTCTTCTTTCATCTTGATTATTCTGAACCGTTGCTTCTAAGACAGCGATTTCACCCCGTAAGTCGTCTGTTTGCTTCTCAAGCTCACTGACTCTCCGTTGACTAGACTGCCACTCCTTTTTCACAGTACCCAAGTTCTCATTTAATGTTGTGACCTGCATAGTAAGCTTAGCCTCATTTTCCTCATGCTTCTTCATTCCTGCTTCCTTTTCTTTTATTTCGGAATGCTGAGGAGGAAGGGGGGAAGAGAGAAGTTATTACATAAGCAGGTACTGAAACTAAAATACCAAAGATATAAATCATATTTCATCATACATTAAAATCTGGACTCAGCAAATATGTGCAGTTGAAATAGGTTTGCTCAAATGTCATAACACAGCAATGGGAATCATCAAGACACGCGGCAGACAAGACAAAGGGACACAACTTGAGACTGCAGTCCACCAGAACAAGGGAGCGCCCACATGCAAAGAGAAAGCAGTGGTCCTGTCCACAGGGCTACAGTCTCTGTCTCATCAAGCCACCAAAGCCGTCAACAAACCCTCCAGATCCACTAAGACATTTGGCAGAATTATCTGGTGAGATTTGTCCAATAAAACCAGATGCTATCTTTGAGGTTAACACAATACAGGGAAGGACAAGCAGACTGCAGCCATAATAATTCCAACCTAAAGTTTCTGCTCCCAGTTTCCAACATTCACTTTGAGCAAATGAATGCGTCACTTACGCACCTCTCCGTGTTGATAGCTGCGTGCTTGTTTATTTGTTTCTACACTAAAGTTGCTTCACTATTATTTCTAATTGGATTCTCACCTATCTAACCTAAAATGTGATATAGAAGAAAACATTTCCTACTACTTTAAAAAAGTTTTCTGTCTTTTCTAATTTTAGTACTAACAACCATTTCAGTCATAGTCTGTAGGTAGAAAATCTCCCTGGACTGATTCAAAGCTCCTCTTCAAAGTACATTCCCTGCTATGAAGTCGATTCACTGACCAGCTTCGCCTCCTTCTCAGAAAACTCCTCCTTCCGCATCTCTTCCTCCTTTTGTGCTTGCTCTCGCAGCAAGCGCTGATGTTCCTTCTCCTGCTCCAGAGCCACCTTCAGCGAATCCACTTTGCCTTGAAGTTCTAATTTCTGCTGAATCAAAAGTTGTTTGGCATCCTGGAGGTTGGCTACTTCCTGGTGAAAAAGCCAGAAACAAATCATACCTACACACAGGCTAACTTTCTGTTACCTCAACACAAGCTAACATCATTTGGGAAAAAGAACCTCAATTGAGAAAATGCCATGCCCAGAAGGCCTGTGGGAAACCTGGGAGGTATTTTCTTGATTGATGTGGGTGGGTCCAGCTGACTGTGGTACCACCCATGGGTGCTATAAGAAAGCAGGTTAGCAAGTCGCTACACAGCATTCCTCCATGGCTTCCGCTTCAGTTCCTATCCCCAGGTTCCTGCCTCAAGTTCCTGCCCTAACAACTTCCCTCAGTGATGGAGTGTGACCTGAGGATAATAAAATGAAATAAACCCTTTCCTTCCCAAGTTGCTTTTGGTCATGGTGTTTCATCACAACGACAGAAAGCACATTAAGACAATTTTAATCAATATGTCAAATGACAGCTGAAATTTAAGCAACTTTTCACAACACCAGATACAAGTCTTTCAGTTCAGTGTGTCAAACCACTGCCTTAAAGTGCAAGACTATTTACTTACTACTCACTAGTATTTCATCTGGGTGGTACTTTACATGAATGCGTTTTAATGACATTATCTGAAGAAGATCCCTACACCTTTCAGTTTGCTCATTTAATGTGTTTACTGGGTCATCGTTTAGTAATCAAACAGTGTTACATTCTGAGTATATACTGAATGAGATATGCTCTGAGTTACAAAATCACACACATGCTAGAAGAGAACCTGAGAGAAGAACCCTGCAGGCGCATCCCAGCTTTCTCCCGAGGCTGCTTCACTTTACAAAGCAAATGGCAGAAAGTTTCTACAACTGGCAACCTACCTAATACTTCTAAGAGAAAAATGTTAAAACCATAAGATTATTAAGGGATTTTAAAGAAGAAAAATAATTGAACAAACAGATTCCCTTAAATCTAAAGTCTTACATGTTTATAAATTATAAACATAATTTTCCAAATCAGTGTCCCACTTCATCATTTCATATCCAAACTTATCCTGTAGCTGCTTTGCTTTATTTATTAAGTAATCAGAGAATAAAAGTAGTTTCAATAGGATATGGACATCATGCAATAAAGAACTCTAACCATAGTATTTGCCAAAAACAATAAAATAACGTGTCTAGCACATAGTGAGTTCTTTCTCAATCTCTATAATTCAATACACTTATAGGTAAATGTAAAGTCAAATGTGCAACACAGACAAGAGCAAAAGCTATTTTAACCTACCTTTATGCTTTCTTGTTTGTGGGACTTGAGTTCTTCACTGAGTTTAATGATTTCTTTTTCTTGTCTACACTTAATTTCCTCCGTCTCTGCCAATTTAGACTTTTCATTTACTAGTTCTTTTTCCTTCACTGACTGTAGAGGAATTATAAATAAATTTAAAGCATCCACTTTCTTGAAAATCAGTATGCTAAAATGTCGATGTTTATGACCCTGGCTTGCACCTCTCTATTGAAGCTAACTAGAGCAGAATGTGCATCTCCCTTCCTACACTACTGAGATGAAAGAGTCACAGTAGAAACTGAAAAGTGAATGGAACCTAGGCAGAATAAAGTGACTATGAACTACAGAAATACTACTCATTTTTACAACTTCTATTGCCATCACCACATCTTGGGTAGATTTCTCAATCTACAGTTTATAAATGAATAAAAATAATTTAAAAAGTTAAACATTTACTAGGGATAGAGTTAACACTAAAACAAGATATGTCTGAGCTAAAGTCCTTACAGTTAAGCACCAATTAAATGCTGCTTGTCATAACAGCATAAACTTGAGACATAAATCATGAATATTGTCCCTGCTTCACAATCCCCACTCTTAAAAACACTCACAATTTTTATAATTCAAGGGAAATTTTCAATTTGGAATATACCAAAAAGTTTATGGTGTGAAAACCATGTTTATAAACCCTCAAAAAGCAATAAGAAACCTGGGTGGGCACCACAAGAAGCGGCGAAGAATCCCTTCTTAGCACAGAACCTCCATGATGACACGCATGCACGCACTTACGCACACACTCGCATACTCTCAGACCCTGACAAGGTACCTTTTCTCTTCGCACATCCTGCAATGCTTTACTCTGCTCCTTCAGCAACTGCTCTTTCTTTGCCGAGTCCTGCTCCAAAGCAGCTTTGGCAGCCTGCAGTTCTTGAATTGATCTATTTTGGTTTCCAATGTGATTTCTGTTTGAAATCAAGTCTTCTTGTGCCAGAGCGAGCTTCTCTTCTACAGACTTACAAAAAGTTATTTCCTCAAATTAATATGATTAGTAGATTTCAACAAGTGTAACAGTTAATAAAAGTACAATGGCAAACAGCACATAATCACATGCCAATGAGGAAGACATGCTGTGGACATCTTTGTTAGAAGATCCATCGTGAGAACAGTGAAGCAGGTAGAGACACAAACTACATGGCAGCCCACTCTATACCTGGGCTATGTGGAATAGCCTAATGATCTCAGGTCACAAGCCTTTGCAGTGGATCAAAGCAGTAAATACCGTACACAGGTGCAACATAGGGTGAAATTTTAAGAACCTAAACTTAAGATAAATGTAGAAATAATCGGCAAAAGCTCTAGGCAATAGGACTTAAAAAAAAAAGCCCCATTAGGATCTTAAAAGACCAAGGCTGCTGGGCCTGGTAGTGCACACCTTTGACCCCAGCACTCTTGAGCCAGAGGATTTTGGCTTTCTGTGAGTTGGATATCAAACTTGGTCTACACAGAACATTCTAAGCCACTCAAAACCACTTAGTGAGACCTTGTATCAGGAGAGATAATGGAAGAAGGGGAGAGAGAAGGGGGGGAGACAGGGAGGAAGGGAGTGAAGGTGGAAGGGAGAGGGGGAGAGGGGAGGGAGAGAGAGAAGAAGAGAGAAGAAGGAAGGGAGAGAGGGAGGGAGAGAGAAAGGGGAAGAGAGGGGGGAAGAGAGAGATGTAGGAAGGCAAAGCTGAAGGTTTATTCTGGAACCACTAGAAATAATCTAAACTCATTACTGAATACTTGTAATAGGAAGGAATATTAGATAAGTAGCAACCATATTAAATATATTCAGAGAAAATATATGGTTGGAAAGAAAACCAGTGGAGACATGAAAGAAAATAATTTAAAAAGAAATACAGGTGAAAGCCAGGCAGTGGTGGTGCATGCCTTTCTTTAATTTCAGCACTCGGGAGGCTGAGGCAGGCGGATCTCTGTGAGTTCAAAGTCAGCCTGGTCTACAGAGTTAGTTCCAGGACAGCTAGGACTGTTACACAAAGAGAAAAAAAAAGAAAGACAGTTGGATGCAATACATGTACACATATACGTTTTCCAGGATCTATGATACCCTCCCTGACCTGGTAAACACCTTAATAAACAAGACAGAGTTTGTCATAGGGGATATTTCACAGCTGTGAATCTGATCAAGAAATTTAGCCTTATATTTAAAGCTGTATACTGACCAACCAAGGACCCATCTCTGAGCTTCCTGTTTCAGTGGTATAACAAATGATGTAGTTAATGTCACAATTACTGACTGCTCTAAGTCCCTCATGTGGTAGTGAATTTTATCATGTTAAATAAATTTTGAATCACTATGGAAACAAACCTTTTGAGTATGTTGTGAAGGATTTCTAAATTAGGTTAATTCAGGCAGAGAGACCCAGCCTAAATGTGGGCAGTGCCATCCCATGGGTGGGACCCTGAACTGAACGACAAGGACAAAAGAAAGGGCTGGGCAGTAGCACTCCTACGTCTCTACACACACAGAGCAACCTGCTGCCTGAGCCCTTAGGTCCAGGACTTCCCATCATGGTGGACACTGCTTTCTACTGTGGGTCATTAAACCCTCCCTTCTTCAAGCTGCTTTTGTCACAACAATGAGGAAAATAACCATTCAGGAGTGAGGTCCGTTTTTATCATAGTTACTGACGGCTCTGAGGCTCACACGTTTCGAGAAGCTGAGGTGGAAGAAAGCTCAAGTGCCTGTTAGGTTACATTTGGGAGTAGATATGGCCCTAGGAAAAGGGGGACTGCCACCCTGGGCTACTTTGGCCAGGAATCTGCAGAGAGTGGGGACTAGCTAACACACTTCACCAGACCTGACAGAAGAGCCTGTTCTCACTAGAGAAACACTTCTCTTGAAGAGGAGGCAGATAATGCAACCCAAGGAAGGATCTCAGACAACTAGGACTGCACATCACACGTGTTAATAACATGTAAGTAAAGCTGGGCGTGGATGTCTATAACCTCAGTGACTGGGAGCCTGTGGCAAAAGGACTGTACATGAGTTTGCATGCAGCCTAGAAACACTGTGAAACACTGACTCGCACATACACAACTAAACGAGTAAGTAAGATGTAACTTGAAGATTATGTTTGCTTCTGAGAAAGGAAGGGTACTTCTTACCAGTAACTCTGTTCAGAATTTTTTCAGATATAAATCTCAATTTTTAATAATAGTCAGTAGAAGTCTAAACCCTTTCAGACTTACTTTGTCAGGTAATGCCGAGTAATCATATTTTTTAAAATAACAAAACAGTTAATCATTAACTGAGTGCCTGCATAAAATGGTCCTTAAAAGAGCGGCATGTAAAGCAGAAACTCAACAGGGAAGCTGGGTAAACGCTCACCACCAGATACACGGTGGGAAACAACGGGTTAGACCCTAATAAAGTGAGACGTGTATGTGGCAACTGGCCTAGATATCAAAATTTCTCGTGAGGGGGTGGGGTCTTGGGGGGGTAATAGTTTAGAGTACTTGACTGACATTCATAGGACCATGAGTTTGATTTCAGCACTGAAGTAAACAAATGACTTTCAAAGCCTATTGCATACATCTACTGCAACTATAATTGGGTAATAGAGATTCTGGTCCAACAGGCTTGCAGTAGTACCCACAAACCCTTCCACATGTCATTGGCCTATAAGATTTCAAAGGCATGGCCTCTAAAAACTTAAAACTAATGAAATCCATGAGTCAGCTCTTTGGACGTAAGGTGAAAGGCTGCATCACTAAAGTGCCAAATGCTACTGCTCTGCCCTGCTGGAGCATCCACCATACACTCCCACAGAGCACTGCCAAGCCTGCCTCACTTGCTCAGCAATGCTTCCCTGGGAACCCTCCTCCTGGTTCATTTCTTTGTTCCTTAACTGTCTTTAATCCAGCCACACTGGCTGAGTGTATCAACTACCAACCCTGACAGCGATTACACCAATTATAGCATCCCGGTGGGAAAATATAGTCCCTTGTAGTTTCCTTTGCTTATTAGGCAAGCTTTCCCACACTTTTTCCAAATAAAACCTTTACAGTGTCAGTTCTCAGTTTTTTCTGATATCTGCTAAAATGGCATAAGAGAAAGTACTGGGACGAGAAGAGTTAGGTTTAATTCTGAATAGCCCTAAAATTTTCACTTTACCTGGACATAAATTTATAAGTGAATTCCATTTCTATTCTTTCTAAACAAATAGCACAGATTGTAGATGCACAGATTGTAGATAACAGAAATACCCAATGCGCAAAGTATTTCCTAAGTGATCCAGCAGATGGGGCTCACAACACAGACCAGGCCAGGCTTCTTCAACCCTGCTGCTGTCTGAGTACACTGTCAGCCTGAGGTATACACTGGCATAGCTACAACAGGATACCTTCCCTCAGTTAAGTGTCCTGTTACAGAACATTCTCATTCTTCTCCTTCTCTTACATGTGACATCAGCTCATGGAAGCAGAAGGACAGTAATGGCCAACAACATCTCTCTTTCTGGTCTACAGATACTTGTGCCTCCTTAGGAATTTGTTCTTCAAGAAACAGTGGGGAAAGAAGGGGCTGTGAGTAAAAGAAGCTTCCCCAACCATGGGTTTGCTCTGCTGCATGACTGGGCCTGCCTCACCTGCAAAAGGAGCCGTTAGATTAAACCCAAATGTCCCACAAGTCTGCCTACGTGTAAAATAAACAAATGATGATCAGTTATAGTTTTTCTTTCTTGAGAGAGATATTTATTTTTATTTTTCATGGGTATGCATCTTTGTCTACATGTTTTATCTGTTCATCACATGTGTGCAGTGCCCACAGAGGTCAGAGAAAGCATCAGACTCCCTAGAACTGGAGTGACAGGCATGTGAGCTGTCATTGTGGGTGCTGGGAATCAAACTCAGATCCTCTGGAAAAACAGTAAATATTCTTAATCACTGAGCCATCTCTCCAGAACCCTCCTTGTCTTTTTTGTGGGACTGGGGAGTTAACCAGCCTCCTTTCCCCTCCTTCCCCCACTATCACTGTGAAAATTTTTTCCTAATTTTCCTTTTCAGTGTCAAGTTCTTCTGACTGATCCCTTGCCCTCCACTGGGCCCTCTATGAACTCTGCCCTTTATCCCTTCCATTCTCTAACTCTGATCCTAGTCTTAATCATCATGTGACTGCCAGAATTTACAAAGAGAGATCTTAATTCATTAATTTTATTGATGTGCATGTGCGTGCTTGTGTCTGCAGGGTTAGTGTGCATCACAGTGCATGTGTGTGCATGTGTCTGCAGGGTTAGTGTGCATCAAAGTGCATGTGTGTGCTTGTGTCTGCAGGGTTAGTGGGCATCACAGTGCATGTGTGTGCATGTGCCTGCAGGGTTAGTGTGTATCACAGTGCATGTGTGTGCATGTGTCTGCAGGGTTAGTGTGCATCACAGTGCATGTGTGTGCATGTGCCTGCAGGGTTAATGGGCATCACAGTGCATGTGTGTGCTTGTGCCTGCAGGGTTAGTGTGCATCACAGTGCATGTGTGTGCATGTGTCTGCAGGGTTAGTGTGCATCACAGTGCATGTGTGTGCATGTGTCTGCAGGGTTAGTGTGCATCACAGTGCATGTGTGTGCATGTGTCTGCAGGGTTAGTGTGCATCACAGTGCATGTGTGTGCATGTGTCTGCAGGGTTAGTGTGCATCACAGTGCATGTGTGTGCATGTGTCTGCAGGGTTAGTGTGCATCACAGTGCATGTGTGTGCATGTGCCTGCAGGGTTAGTGTGCATCACAGTGCATGTGTGTGCATGTGCCTGCAGGGTTAGTGTGCATCACAGTGCCATGTGTGTGCATGTGCCTGCAGGGTTAATGGGCATCACAAACAAGCAGGAAGACTGAAGAAGGCACCAGACCTTTGGAGGACAGAAAATTCTTAACTGAGCTCCTTACTAAGTGATGCAAGCATCTTTAAAATTGCTCCAGGTTAGGTTTTTCATTTTCCCCTCTGCTTGACTCTTTCTATTTAAGACCCAAATATAAAATCCATTTTTTTTGCTAAGCATTTAATATACTTTACAATTTGTATCCTAATTTTCTTTTCTTTTTTGTTGTTGTTGTTTTGTTTTTTTGAGACAGGGTTTCTCTGGTTCTGTCTGTTTCTCTAGCTCTGTAGACCAGGCTGGCCTCAAACTCACAGATCCCCTGCTTCTGCCTCCTGAGTGCTGGGATTAAAGGGGTGCACCACCACCACCTAGATCCTACTTTTTAGCCCTAAATTCCAAATGTAACCCAGAGTTCCCAATTCGCTCTGCTCACTTCCACTGTATCACTAGATGATCTTTGTCAAGACTGCATTTCCAAATTCTACCTATAGTCCAGGACCCACTCCCATATCTAAGTGGCCTAGCTCTCCTCATAAATCCATCCCCACAGGAGCCCATGAATAAAATATAAAATATATACTATATATAATACATATACTATATATATTATATATATAAATGTTTGGTGATTCTCAACAAAATTTTATAGTAAGAGAACCCCCAAATATAGAAATGGGCATATTTTACCATGACAGAAAAAAAGGCACTTGAGACAGGGATAGGGACAGAGACAGGAACTAAGGGAGAGAGGCAGGGGTGCTGGCTGAACGCCATATGTATGCAAGAGCACACTATTAGCTTTCCTTTAGGGAAGCAATGTGCCACTGTTGTATAAAACTTGCTTACCTTTTAATTTACACCCTTTATTTTAATAAGCACAATCCTTTATTTGACCATATAGTATTATTAATTAAGGCTATGCATAACTGGTCCAATTATAATCATTAAGCATTCCTGTAAGTTTAGAAAGTTGACAAATACATAACACTACAGGCCAGTTTTGCTTGAAAACAGTAAAACCACTTGCATTTTTCATAACTGGCTTAATAACAAGCCAATCTTTGAAGTTATTTTAAAATAAAGGCTTCAAAATCCTTAGAAAAGCTGGTAGTGTAATAACATATACCCAAAATATTTTACTATAACTCATTTTAAAATGAATCTTTCTGTATATTTTTATTTATGTATACCATGACTTGTTATAAAACAATCTAACTTTTAAAAGAGAACATCAAAGTAATGACTTAACAGAAAAAGTATAATACTTCACAAATATCAACTTCCTTGCCCATTAGGCAAGGGAGCTGTTTAATGGGCATCTAAAGACAGTCTGCTGTGATCCCTAACACCACAGCTGCCCATACCTTAAGGTCTTGTCTTGTGGCTACAAGTTCAGACTCTTTGCCGTAGAGGTCGGACTGAAGCTGTTTCAGGCTCGCCTGGCATTTGTCATAGGTGCTTTGTAACGCTGACAGTTTTTCTCTCTCTGCTGCACGTTCCTGGGCTGCTTGAGATAACTGCTGCTGTAGTTTATTCTCCAGCTCTGTCTAAAACATGCAGCAGTTGTTTAGAGGAGAATGTAAATGAAAAGCCATTCAAATATAAAACAAAAGTATAAATTTTAGTTGCATGAAAACTAAAATTTCGGAAAACCAGCTAAACTGCATTTATGTCCTAAAATTGTATTTTGATAAAGAGTGGTGTACTTAAATTTCTAATGTCAAAGATTTATAAAACCAGCAATTCCCAATTTAAAATGCAAAAGCAATCAAAGGAAATGAGAGACATTCCACTAGCTTGTAGTGGGTACTGGATCTCAGGGACCAGTAACAACGATGTGTAACAGAAGACACAGTGCTAGATTTCTAGCATGGCATTTTAAAGCTGAACTAAGAGGAGTTTCTGCATAAAAGAAATTAAGAAGCTGTTACTAAATCATGAACTGAGCATGTGGCTTCTACTCTTGAAAACTCAAGAGGAATTCTGGGAATTTCTGTAAGTCATCATTATTAATAACAAGACAGAAAAAGAAAATTTCACATAAGTTTGAATTATTCTAAAACCAACTGTGGTAGTTTGAAAGAAAACAGCCTCCAGAGAGAGTGGCACTGGTAGGAGGCGTGGCTTGTTGGAGCAGGTGTGGCATTGTTGAAGGAAGTGTTACTGTGGGAGTGGGCTTTGAGATCTCCTTTGCTCAAGCTGCACCTAGTGAGTCAGGCAGTTCACTTCCTGTTGCCTGTGGATCAAGATACAGACCCTCAGCTCCTTCTCCAGCACCATGTCTGCCTGCATGCTGCCATGCTCCACCATGATGAGAATGGACTAAATCCCTGAACTGAAAGTCACCCCTAAATGTTTTCCTTTATAGGAGTTGCAGTGGCCATGGTAACTCTTCACAGCAATAGAAATCATAACTAAGATACAAACTTATCTTTAACAATATTTAGGAAATATATAAAAATATGATGTATTAAAATGTCTGCATAACAGAAAAATATGCTTGGCTTTTAAATAAATACATATCTTTCATAGAGTGAAACAGTTCTGACAGAGGTTTTAGAAAGATGGGAGCATTGGAAGAATAGAGAGACCCAAGGGTGGGTATCAAGTAGGATTTACTAGAAGGAATAAGCTCCAAGACTGTGATTTATAATAATTTACTGCATGTTTCACAAAGAGCTAGAAGGTAAGAGCTTAGTGGGTTCTCAAAATGAATAAATGATACTTAAAGGAAACAGAAATGTTAATTTCTCTAATTTGATGATTAAAAATGATATAGTTTTTATCTTATTACATTATATTTATTAGAAACCTGATTTCTAATGAGAGACAGAAAGGAGTAGATAGGAAGATGGCAACTTCCAGCCCTAATGATATCCTAGCAAAATCCATCTCAAAAATAAATCAAAACTTATAAAACTCTCATTTTAATATTATCTTAACTTCTATTTTTTCTTCCTATAAAAAATTAAACGATTTTTTATTAATACCTTTTGTGAAAGAGCATTTTTTACTTCTCCTTGAAGTGCTTCAATTTGCTTTTTCCTCTGTTCAGCCGACTGCTTTAGCTGATTTATGTTGCCCTGAAGCTGCTGCTCTTCTTTTTCCTTTTGTTTTAATGTATCTTGAGCCCGCGTGACTTCTCCCTTGAGTGAACTGAGTTCTGCCTTCAACTGTTGAGAAGTCTAAAAGAAATGGAAACCTGTTGACTTACTCAAAACACATTTTCTGACTATCTGCTACAAGTAACATACTACTTTTGGCAGACATTACTGAACCTGTTGGTCACCTTCCAAACACAACTCATTTCTAGACAATTAATCATCTGAAAACGGGGTAGCAAGCAGTCCAGAAATATCTGCCACAATATGGTCATCAGCAGATACTATGTGTGTCTGTGTGGTGGTTAGTTCTTGTCAACTTGAGCTGAGCTGGAGTTGTCTGGGAAGAGCAGCTGCAGAGGAGGAATTGACTATACACTGGCCTGTGGACAAGCCTGTGTGTGTGCATCTTCCTGACTGAGGGTGCATGTGAGTGGGCCCAGCCCACGGTGGGCTCTGCCACCCCTAGACAGGTGGTCCTCAGCATACAGGAAGCTAGCTGAGCAAACTTCTGGGAAGCAACTAGTGAAGAGCCTTTCTCCACAGTCTCTACTTGAGTTCCTGCCTTGGCTTCCCTCTAGGATGGGCTCTAATCTGGACATGTGAAACCAAATGAATCTTTTCCTGCCAACTCTGTATTTGCTCAGTGTTTGATCACAGCAATAAAAAAGAAAATTAGGGCCATCTATGAAATAAGTCATGTTTAAGAAGCTATTATTTTATCAACTATAACATTCTTTAACCCTATCTAATTAAAGCCCTCATGGCTAGTTGATTCTATTTTCTCCTTTTCTTACTTATATTCCCACATTTGGCCTTTGCATTTTAAATGAGTTTAAATCTTGTGAGTAGTAAGTAGAACACAAATAACAATTTTAAAATAAACATATGAGCCATTATGTTTTAGAGAAATAAAACACTCCCTTGATTTCCGTATCAGGATAAAAGCAACTGGAAAGTACAAAGGCCTCTTGTACTTCACATATTTATAGTAAAGAAAACCGTACCTCTTTCTCTTTTTCAAGTGACTTCTTCAGTTCATTCTGCTCCTTGAGCGTACTTTCTGTCTGTACTTGGAGCTGATGCTTTAGTTCTTTACAAACTTTTTCCTAAGTAAGGAACATTACACAGAAAATGTCTGTAGTAACTTACAAGTGGCTTAAGAGTTTAGAAGGAAATAGACCCTAACCCCCCAACACATACCAGTGGGGCATCTTAATAAGGGAATGACTTCTGCCTAAGAAAGTAAATGTAAAGAACTAACCAACTCTAATATAGCAGCTTTTCCTTTCTCGTTCTCCTTCTCGAATTCACTTTTGGAGTTCTTGAGAGAATCAGAAACTTGCGACAATTTCTCTTTTGCTGTTGAAAGCTCTGCCACCAGAGCTTCTTTCTGCGCCTCCACTGTCTTCAGGTCTGTGGCTGTCGCCTGGATTCGCTCATTCAGCTCTTTCTGCTGCCTCTCTGCATCGTGACTTAACTTTTCAAATTCTTGCTTCAAGATAACTTTTTCTTCCTCTTTCTTGGTAAGAGTTTGTGTAATATTTTCAAGGGCTTCGGATTTATTCTGCAGATCCAATTTCGTACTTGATACTCTGGGTATTAAAAAAAGAATTTTTTAAAATAGAAAATTTACCATTCAAAAATGTTCCTATGTGATTACCAAGTCTTGAATGTTTTATATATCTCAGAAGAAACAATTTAAATAACCAGGAAATTAAGAAAATGTTTAATTCTCTAAAATATAATGGTTCATACATTTATTTTTAAATTGCTATTTGTGGGGCTGAAGAAATAGATGCCTTAGTGGTTAAGAGCACTGGATGTTCTCCCAGAGTACCTGGGTTCAATTCCCAGCAATGACACAGCAGCTCACAACTGTCTGTAACTCCACCTACAGGGGATCTGATACCCTTGCACAGACATACATGCAGGCAAAATACCAATAAAGTAAAAATAAATAAACCATTAAAAAAGAATACTGTATACATAGTAAACAAAACTTTTTTTAAAAATGTTATTTGTGTTCTACTTATCTCTAACAAAATTTAAAACCATGAAAATTACCTTAAAACATTTCATCAGATGAACATGATTTCCTTAGCAAGGGCCAAACTATTTATACTTTCTAACTTAATCCAGTCCTGACCACCACAGTAGGTCATCAGAGAAATTCAGATAATAAATAAATCCTAGACAGTCTACAACAACCAGCAAAGGTTTTCCAGTGCCCTAAAGAACCTAGTCATGCACAGTTATGCATCTTCCCTTAAAGATATAAACATTTTATGTTGAAGAATCTGAATCTCAAATCATTTAAACATAATATAGTAAGGTATTTTTAAAGGAATCAATTTTCTTCAAAAAATAAAGACAAATGATTTATCTAACTCCAAATATATCAGACTATAAAGGGATTTCCTATCATTGACCCTTTAATACAGATTTTTATTGCAAGAATGAATAAGCTACATCACCAGGAAGTGAAAATCCAGCTTTAAGAATGTACACTGATTGTGGAGTTTTCCTTCCGCTCAATGCATGCTGCTTATTGATTGCCTGATTGACTGACTGAGTGAATGACTGTCAACTCAACACAAACTAACTGACTAGTGGGTAGGCCTGCCTATGGTGCACTTCTTTGACTGATATATGAAGGCTTAGCCCACTGTGGGCAGTGCTAGTCCTGGGCGGGTGGTCCTGAGTCTGAAGAAATAAGATGAGCAAGCCATGGGACAAGCCAGTAAGCAGCACCCTTCTGTGCCTTCTGCTTCAGTTCCTGCCTCCAGGATCCTGCCTTGACCTCTAGTCCTGGTTCCCTTTGATGATGTACTCTAACCCGTAAGATGTAATAAACCTTTTCCTCTCCAAACTCTTGAGTGTTTCATCACAGCAAGAGAAAGCAAATTAAGCACTCAATAACATCAAAGCTGAAAACATTCACTACAAAGTTAAAAAGAAAAATTATTCCTAATGAGTAAAACCCATTCTGTACTTAGTATAGTATCACAGATCAGAAACATGACTGTTCTTAAATGACACATATACACATTCCAGTATTTAAAATTTTATATTAACTATTTCAAACTGGTGAACAGCTCGAAATGAATGCTCAAGAGAAACAGCTACCATATCACTGCTGAAAAGTGACTCAACCAAACTTTACAGAACTAAGTAAACAATGGAAAATGATATTAATTTTAAGTAATAATAGCTTTATTTTTCATTGACATTAACTTTAGTAGTATATAAAACCACGCACGCACATGCGCACGCGCACGCACACACACGCACACACACACACACACACACACACACACACACGCACACACACACATGCACAGGCACACTGGCGTCTCTAAGAACAGTGAGAGCACACAGACCCCAGGGTATGGAGTGGACAGTCAGCTTACATTTCCTTCTCCTCTTCAAGCTGTTTACTCAGCTCTGCGGTTCTCAGCTCGAGGTCTGTGGTCAGCTGCCTCTGCTGCTGTAGACTCTGCAAAGCCTGCTCTTTGCTTGCTTTAACTTCTAGGGCATCGGCTTCTAATTTCTGTGGGTAAAGTACAGCATGCCCTTGAATTTGACAATATCTAACCTACTATTAAATTATAACATTTGGACTGCATTCAAATTGTTATTAACAAAATAGCTACATTTACAGAAACCCTTTCTGACACCATACCAAATGAGGAAGTTGTTCTGCTTAAAATCTGTCAGAGAATCTAGAATAGGCACTTTATATAAGTCAGCAGTTATTTTTAAAATTAACTATAAGAATCAACTTATACGTAAATATTTATTTTAAAAGCAAAAGTTTGGTAATTCAAGTCTGAAAAAAAAAAAACAAAGTAACAGGTCATTCCTGTACCTACTTAAAATACATTACCTGTGCATATGCAGCTAACATCCATGAATAACAAGATGCTTAACATAAAAATAAATGAATTAGTTGAGTAGTCCTTGAACTGACATCTACTGATCCTAAATATACAGCACCTAAAATTCTTGACTTTGCTTAATTAGTGTCTTATTAGATTTTTGTCACTGCTCTTTGTAGTGTACCAGGCAGCTCATATATAGTAATATGCATCGGATTTTTCAAATTTATAAAATCAAAGTACTACACATAGGTTTAAATGGCAGAAACATGCTTTCTATTATCTCTTGCTGTGTATTTATGTGTGCATGTTCATGTGTATACCTTTGGGGAGTGTGTGCATGTGGAAGACACATGTCAAAACTGGGTGTCTTTTTAATTCTCCATCCTATTTTCTGAGGCAGGGCTGATCATTAAACCAGAAGCTTTCAGATGCAGCTAGGCTGTCCAAGCAGTAAGTCCAGGGGTCCTTCTTTCTCTGCCTGCCCAGCATAAACTTCACAGGCCCTTTCTGTCATGTCTGGCATGTTACAGGGACACCATGTCTCCAAGCTCAGGTCCTCATGCTTACACGGCAGGACTTTACTGAGGACTTTACTGACTCAATCATTTCCCCAGCCCCCATTTAATTATTTTCTTAAACGAAACATAAAACATAGACATTACATGTGCCAATGGGGTACCTAATATCACGCTTAAATTGAGTTACACATATATCTTCGTTTGCCTTTTCTCTGTGTTTAAAACTTTCAAAAATCATTTTCTAGCTTTCTGAAATGTACAGTGTAAGGTGTTATCTAAAAATCATGTGTCATGTGATAGCACCCCAGAAATTCTTGTTCCAATTACAACTATTTTAGAAAGGTTCCCAAATAAGAGTTCTTTCTGCTCACTTTTCTGTAACACATTATTACCTATTCCTTTCAACCACATCTAATTTGTCATTATGACTACCATTGGCATTAAAAAAAAACATAAACAGAACTGTAGAGCTGTAGTCATTCTCTCATATTATACTGTATAGATGTTCATGGAAAACAGTCACCTCATAACCCTGTAATCATATATCAATCTTCAACTGATTATGGAAGTGCAGGTAACAGGAAATCTAAGGATATTTTGTGTAAGTGTTGATAATTCTAAATTTAAGTTTTTCTCTGATATGTCTAATTATCTCATCTTTTTAGTAAATCAGCACCTCACTTAGAATTATCTTAAGGTAAGGTTCAGCTTATAATGGTTTAAATGCATTACTAAATTAGAAGCAAAATCCAAAAGTAGCATAAAAAGAAAAATGTCACCATACATGATATTGTATTGGAATAATATGTAGGGAAATGGGAAATCAAAGGGGAGAAGAACTTCTAGACCATCAGAGTTATATGGTTTGGTGTCTCCTGAAAATGGCTTACCCTTTCCAATAAAACCAGCACCATGTTAATTGTTATTTATAAAAGTCAACCATCAATGAAGGAATGGAAAATAAGAATGGAGTTCAAGATTAACTGATAAAGTCACTGTTGGAGTCTCACCACTTCACCTTTCTCTGCCACTTAAGTCTGACTCTGGGAAGTCTTCAGACTCCAAAGCTGCTGAGTAGGAAATACAACAAATTAAACTGTTTGTATACAAACCCTAATTTGGCCTTCTAATTCTTCAGCTTTCTGTTCTAAAGAGAGGTTTTTCTCCCTGTACTCCTTTAGATGGCTCTCCAGCTGATTGCAGTGCTCCTGCTTCTCCTGTAACTTTGCAGTGGCCTGGTCCAGCTGCACAGTGACCTTATTTAACTCCTGCAGAAAAGCACATTTAAAGAAAAGTTGTAGCACCCTGATATTCAGCCAGAGTGAAACTGAAAACTCCTATTTCATATAATAAAACATTCTACCTAAGGAGAAAGACTGAATTAGAGTAAAGGGTAAATATAGGAAATGGTTTTGCTTTTAGAATTTGATACACTTGTGAATTTCTTTTTAAAATGGGCCTGGAACGCCAGTATTATTTTAATGAGTATATTCTAAAAGGGAAGGAAGGCTACCAGCACTTTGACAGTAACCCTAAAGCACAAGCTTCTAAGAAGCTTGTCATCTAAACGTCCTCACCTCTCCTACAGCCAAGACAATGAGTGCCTCTTAGACCTGGGAGAGAAAACAGCATCATTTCCTCCTTCTCAGTGGCAAGTACATCTGAGTCACTTCCCCAACCATTGGTTCCTGATGTGAAAAGGCAACAATCCCATACTTGAAAGTAATATTTCATCTCTTACTATGGTCTAGGCTACGTAGGACACACAATACAATATTTGGAAACCCAACCACACCTGCACACTAGTTTTATTTTAAAAAAATAGATGATATTTTTATATTCATCTCTCTGGCTCCTTAGTACCCCACTCAACTGATTCTAAAAACTGTGAAAAAGAGGGTTTGAAAGCCTATCACAAGATTATAGAAAGCCAGTCACCATTTTAACAAGTCAGCAACTAATTTAACTACAAAACAGGAGGCTATACTGTGATAATACCAGGTCCCCTACCTGTTGTTTATCTTGTAGTGCATTTTGAGCTGTGTCCAAATGATTCTGAAGATCCGCTCTCTGAGCAGTTTTTGCTGCTTCTGCTGATAGTAACAATTCAGTTTTGGCTTTAATCTGAAACACAATTTGCAAATTACTGAACTCCATATTTAAGACACATTAGTTTTGTCACAAAACTATTCAAAAATTAGGTTCTTTAGTAGAAAAGTGATAGCTGAGACACTGAAAAATACATATGTGAAAATCTCCCAAACAGAAGCAGGAAAGGGAGAAGGTAATGGTTAGATAACAAAACGAGCTCTTCCTCTGTGACACCAACACATCATGGTGTGCCCCTTTGTGAGGGGAAAAAATGGTTCCAGGACTGGAAATACAGGTCTGAGACCCAACAGCTAAGAGGCAAAAGGACTGTGAGTTCCAGTCCATGCTACGTGCTTAGACACTATCTTTAAAAGCCAAATAAACTGTATACTTTTCTTTCCTGGGGGAGACCAGAAAGAAATGTCAAAGTTTATCAGTGTCACAATAAACTAAACTATGCCATAGAAAATGATGGCTCCTTAAATCAAGTACTTCAACATGGAGCCCAAACAATAAAATAAGCCAGAAGTATGTTTAAAATTCATTATTTCCAGATAACTTCTCATAAAGTTTTATTTTTGATTATCATTAAAAGCCTACAAATTACACATTTAAAACCTCAGGCTTTCCACAATAAGTTTTGAAACAGTCAAATGAGCTAAAAGTTGTGCCTTCTTTATAAAAAGTGACATTTATAAGCACAATTCATCTCTATTAAGAAAAGCAAAAAGTAGAAAAATATTAATACATCTGAAATTAAAATATTTTTAGAATAGTTAAAATGATACTCATTTAACTTTAGTGAGCATAAAAAATTTAAAATACACAATAACCATAATTTCAAGCAGAAAGGAAAATCTTCTCCAAATATTTCTCAGTAACTCAATACTTGATCTTCACAGAAATAATGTTTGATAAGGTATATCTCTTTTTTTTTTTTTGGTTTTTCGAGACAGGGTTTCTCTGTGGCTTTGGAGACTGTCCTAGAACTAGCTCTTGTAGACCAGGCTGGTCTCTCTATTTTGAGTTCAAAGTGAAAAGTCAAGAAATCTACACTTTAAGAACAGGAAGTAAACATTCACTAACAAACATATACCAGACTGTGAAGAACTTATTTTTGTGTAAATCAGCTTCATTTACATGTAGCAGTTTATCTTTACGAGGAACTTAAAATTCATGAAATGTTCCAAAATAAATGTAACATATTTTCTAAAGTCATATAATATGTGAAGATTTGAGGGAAATGATTAATAGCTCCACTATTATCTCAGAAGGGTCCAATGGCAAAACAAACAACCATCTCCAGTCCCTTCGAATGCATGAAGATCAGAGATCCTGCCATTGCTGCAAGCTGCACTTACAACAGTAAGGCACCAATAGCAGACTGGGACACTGAATGTGCTACTTTACCCTCACACTGTGCTGACCATCCTACGGGGAAGTACCTTGGAAGGAGGAATCAAAAGTTACATTACAGAAATCACCTTTGCATAGGGAGAAAGAACAAAAAATACCTGTGGACACAGGAAACCTCAAGAAACTATGTAATTTAATTTGTATTCTCATTTTCCACTGACAGGTAAAGAGAAAAGAACGTGCACCATGTATGGTTTACAACTGATGCTCTATGCACACGCACGAGTTAAACAACGCATTACCTGTACGTCAAGCTGAGAGACCTTCTCCTTGCTTTCATTTAACTGACTGCTTAGTTCATTGATGTTGGTTTCTAGGGAAAGAACTCGGTCTTGTGCAGCTCGAAGATGTGCCTTCTGTTCCTGTACCTGATCATGCAAATTCTCCTCAGCCTGTTTGTGGCTTTCCGACTGATTCTTCAGCTTCTCCATTATTTGAATCAGCTATTACATATGCAAGAGTGTAATTACAAAGTTTGAAAATCACAGCAAAAATGAAGAAACTCAAATTTAAGCATCATCAGAATACTGAACTGCTCTATAATAAGTAATTTCAAGTTTTTTTAGTAAAAATATTCATCTTTCTTAACAAGTCAATCTAATATCCCAAATCATAAGAACATTAAATTCAGATATATTATTTTTAAATTCCTATTCAGTTAAAATTTACACACAATAAAATTCATCTAATGTAAGTATAAAAACCTGAGATTTGACAAAGGTGTACACTCATTACATTTTTAACACAATCAAGGTAAAGAATAGCTTCATTACACAAACTATTTTCACATGTACCTTGCAATATCTTTCTGTCCAGAACTCCCCACTGATCTGATTAACAAAGAATTCCTTGTACACTGCAGGTGTCTCCAAGTTGTCAGACAAATTATATGTTTTTATTTACTTTTGCAATGTTATCTTTTCAAAACCATCCATTTTTAAAATTTAGGTGAAATCCAATCCATCTGATATTTTTCACATGCATGGGATTTGAGTCTTTAAGTCTTTCTACTCTAGTAGATCTTCCCCGCTGGAGCTCATTGGTCTTTGCTAACCTAGAAGACTGCCTCAGCTTCATTTGGAATGTTTTCAACCATTTCATTTTATGTTCACTAATTTCTTTCTGTCAATTCTCAATTCAAGTAACTATTTTATCTTTAGCAGCTCTCCATGGGTGTTTTGTGTCATTCCCACTCCTCCTGTCATATTAAGGTTTGTACTTTACGCCCATAGGCACAAGGGGGTACTTAAAGTATTCATCTGGTGATTCCACCATGTTTCATTTCAGGATCTGTTTCCACCACGGTTTTTACTGTTGCTGTTTTGTTTTGTTTTTAAGCACAAGACTAATTTTATTAGAATGTAAGAGAAAAGTATAATATAAACTAGGTGAAGATCCCAGCAACCACCAGAAGATAACAGAGAGACTCACGCCTTTCAGACAGCTCACCATGAAAGAAAGAAGCGCTCTCAAGAGCGGAAGTGAACTAAAGAGCTGTGGAAGGAACCTCAAGGCCTCCACTGGATGATCTTCTACTGATGAAGGCTCACACTCCCCTGATGCTTCACATATCCAGTAACCTTTGGTCATTTATTGTAACCAATCAGAATTGTGCTGTCTTCTTTCAAAGAATGCTGTGTTTTGTTCCAGCAGTAGGTAATGCATTTGTGGCTCACATGGGCCCTATCAGGATTCAGCTTTCCCTTCTGTTAGAAGCAGCCTATAGGAGCTTTTACTCTCTTTATATTTACTTCTCATGTAAGGTGTGGTATGTCTGGTGACCTTCATCTCTGACTGGCTATGCTTGAAGATCTTTTGTGAGCTCCAGTTCACTGTCTAAGTACAAAACTTAGAATTCAACCAAAGCCCCCAGCAGACCCCTAGTGAGATTTGTGAGGCTTTTCTCTATAAAGCTAATTATGACCTCATACTTAGCCATGCAAATTAAGCTGCCTTAACCTCCATGAAGCTCCCTAACCTACATTCATCAGTTTAAATACATTACCAAAATATAAATAACTGTTGAGTTTGAAATATTACATAATACTCAGTAATAGCTAATATTTGATTACTACATTTAACTTACTAATTTGTTACTTATTTCTATTTTTAAATACCACAAAGGTCAGGAGACAAATATGTAGCATCAGTCACATCTCTACTTTTCCAGGGACCTAGGTGAAGTGATTTAACTGTTGTCACACTATAGCACAAATAATAAAAACCCAGAAACAGATATTGGGGTTCAAGCTGAAGATCAGGATAGCAAAACAGTCAGCCACTAGCTCTTACCTCCAAAAGGGAGATCCTGTCTCCAAGAAGCCTCAGAGTGGCTGGAGACTGAATGCTGCATGAGACCCCAAGCTCCTGTCTTATATTCTTCTCTAGTGCTGGGATTAAAGCTATACACCATCACTGCCCAGCCTCTGTGGCTAACTGGTGTGGCTGCTGGGATTAAAGGTGTGTGCCCCTACTGCCTGGCCTCTATAGCTTTGCCTAGCTTTGCATTCTGATCTTCAGGCAAGCTTTATTAGATCATAAACAATGTATCACCACATCACACAGGCAGTAAAATACCTCCTGGGATATCTAAACATTGTACTGGCCTTCAACACACGGTGACCTACCTTGATGATAAATATGATGATATAAAAAATAACTTTTTAAAACAAAAAAAATCTAGGGTCATGAATTGTTTTTATAAAACATGTAATACAATCCACAGGGATTTCAGTAAAGTTTAGAACTATAATAACAGTTTACAAACGTACTTGCTGTTGTAGTGTATGGTTTTTCTCTTGCAACTGCTTAAGAACAGCAGTCTCTCCTTCACCAGCTTGGATTTTTGCATAAAGGTCCTCTCTTTCCTTTTCTAGTAAAGAAATATTTTCTTTACTCTTCTGCAGTAAAGCTTCAAGGTTCTGGATCTTCTGATCCTTATCACCAATCTGACGTAAGACTTGTTCCAAATCATTCTGTAAAGAATTAAAACCATTTTAAGGATGAAAGATTTCAATAGTTATTCTTTAAATGTGAAATGACTGATAATAATTTTAATCATCCAAAATGTTGGTCCTACATATTAAAAACTATTATACTATATTGTGGCAAATTAATTAAAGTAACCTATTTAATAACATAAATGAATTTAACAAACGTGCTTACATTACACTTCTCCTAATACTCACTCTGGCCTTACTGCCTACACTCTGATCCTTTTCAGACACTGGAACTTACTCAGTGGCTGCACCAAGTGCACTCCTATCTCGGAGCCTTTGCACTAACAATCTTGCTGTCTTCAATGCTTCCCTAGCAGCCAAACGACTCCCTCCCTCTTGTTCAATGTTCGCTCAGTTGTCACCTTCTACATCCAGCTGCCCTGACCATTACATTTCCAATACTCTATATGCTGTTTTTGTCACTGCATTTCATTTACCTCTAACACATTATAGCTTACTTACTTCTCTCATTTTTATTTACCTCCTTACTCCTCCCATTAGAACATAAATACCTTTATTATTCATTGATATATGTCCAAGACATATGACACAGAGGTTCTAAAATAAACACTGAGTGAAAACGACCACTGCAGCTGTGTAAGGTGGTACACACCTTTAATCCCAACACTTGGAAGCCAGAGGTAGTCGATCCCTGAGTTCAAGGCCAGCCTAGTCTACAGAGTACATTTTAGGACAGCCAGGGCTACACAAAGAAACTTTGTCTTCAGCCACTCTTCACCCCCCAAAAAAAATCATTGCACTCTCACACATGGACACTTATGCAAACTCACTTGTGTACCCAGAAGGACTCTTCTAAATCAACAAAGTCCTCTTCTTCCTAAATATTATGAAGAGCATCCTGAAACAGATCACATCCTCAACATCCACTTTCTATTAACTACCTGGCTCCAATGGTTTTAGCTCGGCCTCCCTCTTTTTAACAGTCAGGCAGTTTTGCCCAGAATAGAAGCCCTAGCTTTACAGTAGCTTATGTAATATCAATAACAAGTGGACAGCCAGCATTTTAACGATTTGTGTCAGTATTAAAACATTCAAATCAGTCACTTTCAAGTGTGCTTCTCATTCCTCTAAGCTTTGGCAGTGAAAAAGCACATTGCTGCTTGCTCTCAGTTTCTCTTCTGCCACTCACTCTTTTTTACTGTTTTTCTGGGATTCAAGTTCCAGGGTAGAGCTTTCTGCAGAGCTCACTGTTTCCATTCAGCACTGAAATCTGGTTTCCACTGAGCAGAGCAGACTCCATTTCCCCTTCTCTGTCTCTGCTCAGTCAGGCTATTCCACCAGCAAGGCAGAAGACTGACCCTTTCCTGCTTTTTCACCAGGTTTCTCTGTGTAGCTTTGTAGACAGGCTGATCTCACAGAGATCTGCCTGCCTCTGCCTCCCGAGTGATGGGACTAAAGGTGTGTGCCACCACTGCCCCGCTGCCATCACCCTCTTATAAGAGCCTTGTACTGGTTTGGAAGTATGCTATTTTTCTTTATTCTACCCTCTACTGTTATCTGTAAATTCCTATCCAATTCCCTGAAGACTTGAGACCAGACTTAGTCAAAACTAGTCTTAATCAAATTCAGTCTTAATCTCAATTTCTGCTCATTTTCTACAAAATATAAAACGCACACAGAATTAAGAACACAACCTCAACACCCACATCACCTTCATTCCGGGGCTGAACTCATTATATACTGTGATCACCCACACACAGAATTTTGTAACAGCCTGAAATTATGAAAGCTAAACAGTATGGCTGTCTTACTCTGACCACAGCTTCCTATCTTCCCATTCCATGACCTCATCTCCAATGCCAGTAACTTCAGTTTCTGGATGATTTACTGTAGCCTAGCTTTTCTTTCTAGACCTAATACATGGAAATAAACTATTCTTGCAGCCACATCCTCCATTTCCTGTCACCTTAAAATATCCCAGGCAACCTTACCCCACAAAATACCAGCTCTACTGTGATCTGTTTCTGCACTCCTGTATTTCTGAACATCTCTACAATAAAAGTGCAAATCTCCATAGATTCGTGCCACTAAAAGCGCCTGAGTTCCAATCTCCATTAAACAGTTAAAATCATCTTTTCAATCTTTTCTGTTGGAATTCTCCTAACTCCTCAAAGCTTCAGCATTCTCCCCAAACTCACAATCCCTGCCTGCCTGACACAGAGCTATTCTGTCTGCAATTATACCCTGATATGTAAAACTTCCATATATGAGCTACCTTGATTTCCTATTCTTTTCCCATTGCATTTAGTTCTTCAGACTTTTCCCATTCCCACGAGACTTTCCTTGGCCTGCACTGTGAGTACTGAATGAGAAACTAAGCAAGTTCATCTGAACCCTTTGCTCTCTCCTTGACAGAGAGTCAGCCTACCTGCAAAGTGAAAGCCTGTCATTTCCAGCTGGGTCTATATATCTACATGAATAAAATTAATTTGGAGACACCATAAGAAAGTCCTCTAGCTGTTGACATCTCTAAAAATTTTCATGCTCCATTTCTTTCCTACTCCCAACAGTAAAATCCCAGCATAACCTACAGTCACATAATCTAGTTTCTGTCTTCTCTCTAATGAAATCTCCTGTCTGGTGTTCATTCCATCTTCTCTATCCAAATTTCTCTTACCAAGGTCAGAGGCCTTCCTTCCTTCCTATTGACAAATCCAACAAGATCCTCAGTTTTCATTTAGTTTGGTACCCAGGTAAAAATGCTCAGCCTTCCTTGTCTTCTCTCTCAAGGTTCTACATCAGTCTATCAGCAAAGTGATCAGCTTCACCTAGACCACTGTATCTGACCACTTTTCACTATCTGTACTATTTACATTCCAGTCCAAATAACACGCCTTGTGTGAATTACTGTACTCTCCCAGCTAATTTCTATGCTTCTTTTAATGTTCTCTTCAGTCTACTCACAATACAGCAGCTATGAAAATCCTGAGAAGTCAGTTGGACCATGTCATTCCTTTTCTTAGAACCTTTATTTTCTAATTTTATTCAAAAAGACAAAAACAAAACTGAGACCTCGAAATTACCTGTGAAGTCCTACATGTTCTGAGCCGTGCATCCTCTGTGATCGTGTCCCTGTTAACTATTGTTGCTCACACCATTCCAACCAGCTCCTCCTGGTTCTGAGACTTACTGCTACCTCGGGAGTTTTTAACTCACCACTGATGGTCTTCTCCATGGTGCTGCCATAGCTCACACCCTCCCTTGCTTCAGGTTGTCTTCTCAGAGAAGCTGCACAACCCTAATACTTTCAGCCCTATGCATGCTTTCCAGCTTGGCCCTCCTTTTGTATATGACTACAGCACTTAGATAACTTTGCATTTGCTTGTTCACCTTGGTTATTGTTTGCCTCCCTCAGTAAACACTCCATAACAGCAGACAGCTTTGTGTATTTTACTTACTGCCATAAATAAATACAAATTAGTTCCTTGGCTGAGACCAGACATAATGCTGTTCACTAATAGAACAAAAGAAGTGATAAATGAATCCAGTGGTTTTTATCTCTATTTGTCTGACTCCTGTGCCACTTCAAACTCCGAAGGAAAGATTGCTTACTGCAGAAATAACTTATTGTCCCTACCCCAGACACCACAAAATTCCTATGCACATACCACTGACTGTGCTTTCCAGAGGGTAGGCACTGTGTCTCTTTATGTTCAGTACTAAGCAATTCCTGACACCCAGTGCTCAGAAATGGCCAATAAATGACAGAAAGAGGAATAAACAAATACAAAAGGCAAATTCACTCCAAACATGTATCCTGCTCTTACATAAAAAAACTAACTTCTCTTACTTCCTAAGCCATGTAATAATGTAATCTGTATTAATTTAACCCAATCAACTATATTTTCTATATCTATAAGTCCAGTGTTTAGGCAGTGTTAATAGGTAAGGATATGACCACTGAACACTACAATATATTGTAGAAGTATGAAATAGTGTGTGCATGAGTATGCACATGCATGCATTTACACACGCATGTGGAAGCCAGAAATCAACACTGGGAGTCTTCCTCTTTTACTTCTCCACTACATTTGTGAGACACGATCTCTCTTGGCTAATGACTGGCAGACCAGCATGCCCTCTACCTCTTCAGTGTGGGATTATGGGTGATTGCATGCTACCATGCATAGTTTTTCACTTGGGTAGCAGAGATATGAACCCAAATTTCATGAGTTGCTTTATGTTTGCACAGTCATCACTTTATCAGCTGGGTCATTCCCCAACTTTATACCTAGGCCATTTAATAGATAAATTTATTTGAATAATATGTGAATTATATATAAAACAAATGTGTTTGCAATAATTCTAAAGTACTTTGATTTTTTTCACAAAAATCAAAAGAAATAAGATTTTCTGACTATCACCAAAAGTACCTTCAAGCATTTGCACTACGCAGTTCTATCACAACAAAGAAAGAGGTTCTCTTCTGCGTTCGCTTGGAAAGTCATGTTGCAGTAGGCTCACCTGAGCTTCTCGGAGTTTGGCTGTAGTGCTCTGCTGAAGAGCTTGCTGCTCTTGGTGCTGTTGCTTTGATTTTTCTAACTGATGTTGCAGCTCGGTGGAATTTGTTACCTTTTCCTTCAACTTAAAAAACGTAGACTGTTAGTTGAGAATTTAAGACATAATGTGATCATTCATAAATATCTGGCACTAGGTCAATTCGAAAAAATAAATTCAAACCATATGGGAAACATCTTTAAAGCAGTTTCCCATTACTTATAGACTCTTAATTTCATGATTAAGAAGCCATCCTCTACTCATTAAATCTTATCCTAAGAAGAAAACAAATCTTTCTCCAGACTGGCATTAGTTCAGCATTGTAGTTTTGTATCCCAATAAGTTAAAGCAATTAATATGCAATTTATGTGTAATGATAATCTAAACCACAGTGTCTACATTTCTCTTACTTTTTAACAGTTATATTTGTGGCATACTAGGAAGGACTCCAATCTGCTACATATTTAAGACATTACCTCTAGTAGAAAATGTATAGCTGAATTAACAGATTTTAACCAGAGCATTTGTTCAATTCAAATGTAAGTCATAATTCAATCATAGTATTTCCTTTAACCACACAAGGTGCCACCTGAGTGACTACAGCTTCTTCTGAGGAAAAGGCTGATGAGATGGCCTGAAGGCATCTGTCTGTGGAGCTAGATCACATGTCCTATATGGCTATTTATGAAAACTGAAGTCCTCAGTGCATGTAAAAGCAACGTTTACACGCTGCTCATGATCCTCACCGGCTGTGTGTTGGTTTAGGAAGCAGTTCTTCCTGGGTATGAGAAGCACAGCAGCCTTGGGTAGGATCAGACCAAGAAGGCTTCCTGATGAAAGCTAAAAATGTACTTTGTGCATTTGCATTGAGAATTTGAGGACTGTAATAACAGTAAAACATACCAAATTTAAAATGTAGTAAATAAGTAGAATATTCTAACTGGGGAGAAATAAATGCTCCAATGTTAAATAAAGCAATTACACTTAAAGTTGCCGTGTTTAAGACACACCACGTCTAAACCGTGCACTTTCAGATGCTAGCTTACCTGCTCTTCCAAACGAGAGAGCTTGAGCTGTAGGTCAGCCACCTGCTGTTCTTTATCCATCAGCTTCTCACTTGAAAGCTGCCTCTGTTCCTTCAGCCTACCATGAGCTTCCCCTAGTTGGCGCTCCGTCTCCAGAAGTTTGCTATGTAACTTTAAGACAGAAACCAAGTATGCCTGTGCATGTGAGTGTAAACACACACAGTACCACCTACTTCACTGTGTTTCCACAGTTAACTGTACGCCACCTTTTCATTTTATATCCCGTCACACCTTATACTGCAGAATAACAAACTACAACTGAATTTTAATCACTTAAATTATTATAAATCACATAAAGTTAGGAGTAAGCATTGCATATTTCGTGCCTGTTTTATTTTCCCTTAAAAAACACAGGAGACTTGCGTTGGAGAGATGGCTCTGCAGTTTAAGAGCAGTGGTTGTTCTTCCAGAGGACCCTGGTTCGATTCCCAGCAGCTCACAACCATGTGTAACTCCAGTTCTATGGGATTTGACTTCCCTTTCTGGACTCTGCAGGTACCAGGCATGCATGTGCTAGCAAAAACTCACACACAAAATAATAATAAAGCCTCATCTCAAGCAATCCAAGAATTTTTAAGTGGCCGGGTGTTGGTGGCGCATGCCTTTGATCCCAGCACTTGGGAGGCAGAGGCCCGCAGACCCCTGTGAGTTCGAAGCCAGCCTGGTCTACAGAGTGAGTGCCAGGATAGGTTACACAGAGAAACCCTGTCTCAAAAAACCAAAAAGAATTTTTAAGTAAAGAATTGTGAACAATTTGAATGGACTGTAATAACTAAAACCTACTATAGACACCATACTGGACACCATTCTCAGCAATCTTGGTTAATTAATAAGCACTTCATGATGGTGTTGTATGTGAATGGTATCTCTGGATTTTTTGTTTGTCTGTTTGTTTGTTTTTTCTTAAGGGAAACTAAAGTGAAACGGAATGGGATCTAACACTACAGGTTTTAAGAGCCCAGCTGTAAGGAAGACCATCTTTTTTAAACAAGAACGGCTTCCTGGCGCATGGCCATCAGACTAGCGCGAGCGCGAGCAGGAGCTGCGGTGACTAAGCAGTGCTCACCTGGCTGACTTCCCCTTGCAGCTGGAGCCCATGCTGCTCCTTCTCTTCACGCTGCTGCTGCAGCTGCTTACACTCTGCCTTGAGCTGCTGCTGCCTGCTCTCCGCTTGCCGCAGCTCCTCTCTGAGCTTCTGAGCAGCCTCCGCCCTCTCACTGAGTTCCTCCTGGACCCTCTGCAGGGAGCCTTCAGAGGCAGCCAGCCTTGCCTGAAGCTGCTGACAGTCCAGGTCCCTCTGATGCAGGGTCGCCTGGACATTCTTTCTACTCACTGACTCTTCACTGTGCTTCTCCTCCAAGTGGGTGTAGTCCAGTTCTTTCTTCAGCAACTTTTCTGTCAAGTTCTGAAATGTCAATTTAAAACTTTGCATTTTAATACTCTAACTATTTCCGTTTCTCAAACTTTTGTCTTTGTAGCAGTAAAAGTGAAAATACTTTAGGAAAGAATTATGGAAATTTTATTATTGATCATCATGATTAAAATGGACCAATTCAATACAAAACTTACCAAGAAAATATTGTCATAACCTGAAAACACATATTTTGTATTCTTTGGGGAGGTATAAATGTGTTTATAGTCCTACTTCAGTTAAAACACTAGTGTGCTTCAAAGCTCTAAAGTGGGTTTCGAAGTTTCCAGGGTAGTGACCGCTTCAGCACAGAAGTGTCACCTGCCTTGCTAGTGTCTGACCCTACTGCTGCATTTTTTCATTCCTTCTGATAAAGACCATCTCTTTAGAGTTACAGTATAAAGTGAACTCAAATTTCTTTCTGGGTATATAAAGAAATGATCTAAAGATAATATTTATCTGTCTTGTATTTTATTTTATTCAAACCAGCAAAATAAACACAAAAATAACACCATCAATCACAGATCTGGATCAATTGACCTGAATTTAAAGGCTGGTCTCACTACTACTGTTACAACAAGTAAAATATGAACAAAATGTTAACTTCCCTAAGAAAATCTCACATGCTGAGAAGGCACTGGAGACACTACCGATCTGTCATGGACATTGGGACATTTCCTTTTACACTGTGCAGGAAGGGATGGAACAGAAATGAGGACAACCAGACCCTCCATATCTTAAAGAGACTACTGTATAAGTAAGACAGTATGGTTAAAGTCACCTTCTAAACCAGCTAAAATAATTTACAGGGACATTTAAAGGGGCTGGGGATGTCACCAGTAGCAGGCAAACACCGTTTTAGCATGAGTTTGATAGTGAGGGGAAGGGAAGAAATGAAAGAGGGATATAAAGGAGACCTATAGTGGGAGGGGAAAGGGTTGAGAACCATTTTTGTTTTTGCAACTCTTGAGAATTTGCTACATGAGTACTGAACTTACATCACTTGTTTCCACCCCACATTCTCTCCCAACTCCCTCAAAGTCTTCCCCCACTCCCTTTCAAATCCATGGCTTTTTCATCACACACACACACACACACACACACACACACACACACCACTGAGTGCATTTCCTGTTGCTCAGATGAACATGTGCTTAGTGCTGACCCTTGGGATTGGGTAACCTTGTGGGGGCTCGAATCTGGAAAAGACTGGTTTCCTCTCTCAGCAGTCATTATTTGGTTGTAGCTATTCTAGCAGTGGGGTCTTGTGAGATTTCCCCATCCATGATGGCTGTCAACTGGTCATCATGCAGATCTTGTTTAGGTGACCATGTTGTTAAGATTTCATGGGTGCAGGCACTGTGATACAGAAGACACTCACTACCTTGCAGTGGATGCCCTGGTCCATGGATTCTTACAGTCTTTCTGCCATCTCTTTCATGATATTCCCTGAGCCTTAAGTGTAGGGATTGTGCTGAAAATGCATCAATTGGGGATTGCCAAATAATAATTTTTAAAAATGAGCTAAATCGTAAAGCTAAAAGAAAGAAAATAAGAGATTGTTTTCAGAGCTGTTAAACCCCAGGAGGAAAGAAGCCGCTACAGGGGGGTAACCGCAAGCCTTAGAGCCTCAGTGGGGAAAGGAAGGCAGTAGTTTAGGAACCAACACATAGTGAAGGCTCTTGAACACCTACCTGAGAAAAAGCAAGTTAAGGTGATTATCAGAAAACACATTGCCAAAAAAACCAGCATCCAGAACAGTAAGTGTATATAAGAAGGAGAGGGTTGTTCTGGCTAGTTTTATGTCAACTTGACACAAGCTAAAGATATCACACAGGAGGGATCCTCAATTAAGAAAATGTCTGTAACAGTGGGCTGTAGGAACACCTGTAGCGCATTTGGGGGAGGGCCCAGGCCACTGTGGTCCTGGGTTCTATTGGAAAGTAGGCTTGGTCACCTGTCCTCAAGTATTCATCAAACTCTATCAAGCTGGTGTGGTAGCACACACCTATAATCCCAACACTCAACTTTTAATACTGCTTAAAAAATATAGTGGAATCCTTTAAAGAAAATAATGACTTCTTTCAATTCTCTGTATCTATCCTTACAACCAATTTTGAGATAGATATGATTCCTATTTACAGATGACAAATCTGAAATCGAAAGAACCTAATACAATTTAACCTAGGAGCAGAGTCATTATTATGATTCTAAAGCAAATTAACTTCTTAAAATACATAATTTAGACAGTAAATCAATTCATTATCCTTAAAATTTGTCCTACTCAACTTTAAATTATAAGGTGCATATGAAGCCTGACTACTAATCACTTGTGTAATGAGATCCTTCCTTTCCTCCCTTTTAATTTTCTCATGAATTGTCTTCCCATCATAGTTTCTTAAAGGTAACAATTTCCCTATAATATGTATCCTTCCATAGGGAATGGGCCCCCAAAGTCCATTAGTGACCTAGGAATAAATACTGGCTTCATTGTTAGAGATTCTATATAACTCAGTCTCTTAAAACCACCTGTTATATGAGTAGCCTTGGATAAACAATGCGATTCTGGTCACAATTTATATGAAAATAATTAATCTAAGGTACAGAATTATGTTTAAATACAATTTTATTAAAAAGTAACAAGGCTGTTACTTCCATTTATCACTTTGATTTTAATATTTTAAGACCATTAATAAACACTAGATTAAAACTGAAAACTTAAACAGCAAAAGTTAATAATTTCCATCTATTATACATTGTATCTGTCTACACTGATGAGGTCAATACCCATAAAAACTGCATATGTTATTTTACATGCCATCCATCAAAAGATAATGCACAAGTCAGGCTAGGTGGCACAGGCCTGCAATCCTGGCTACTCAGAAGGCTGAGGCAGGAGAATATCAATTTCAGCATGAGCACCCTAGCAAGACCCTGTCTTAAAGTAAGAAGTTAAAGGCAGGAAGGCCTAGAATATAGCTCACTACAGGATGCTTGCATAGGATGCACAAGGCCTTAGGTTTAATCTCTAGAAACACCAAAAAAGATTACATGCAGAGATTTACAAACTTAAAACACCTGGATATTATTACTGCCAATAACTATGGTTCGAGTGAGAATTGGACAGCAAGGACATAAAGGATTGGTAGACAAATGAAAGAGATAGATGAACCTTCAGTTTTGTTTTTGTTTTTTAACTGGATCCACTACATGACCTTGAGTCTCCTTACACTTCAAATCTATTCTGACACTAAAAGTAAAGCTGATGAATGGATAGCTTATATACTATACAATGAAATGTGTCAATACTTGAAAGATCCGATTCACTTAGTGAGCTGGTATTTTTAACATGACAAATGATGCAATGAAATCACATACATGAAAAGACCTACTCAAAAGGCAGGAGAGATAGGTGAATTTTGATGTCACATATACAGAAAGTTCACTGTTCTGGTTTAAGATCCTACATAGTGACAAACCCTTGAGAAGCCATCACTTACCAAGAATAAGATAAGCCTTGACTATCAGAAAGGCTATTAAAGTATTCCTCCCTTTTCAACTACGTAACTGTGTGAGAGTAAATTTCCTTGATCTACTTGTCATAGCAGACTACAAATATAAAAACAGACATGAGATCCCAATTATCCAACATTAAGTCAAATATTAAAGAGGTTTGTAGACATATCACCACCATTCTTAATGAATTCATGTGTTTGGGCAAATAACCATTTTTAAGAACAGTTATGCTAATATTTAATGGGTCAATATTTTTAAATTAATGATTATTTTTAAAAATGTAAGGCCTAGTATGATAACTACACACAGATAAAACCTCTCTTTTTCACCTCCCAAGTGAACTCCATGGAGTTCTTCATGATTTTGAGAAAGTAAAACAGAACCGCTTGTAAAGGACACATGCAACCAGTGACTCTCACTCTTAGTGGCACCAACTTAAATGACATCTGTCATCTCCCATCGCTTTGGAGGCTCAGCAGCTCTCTCCTCAAGTTGTAAGGAGCTCCTGACCAGAGCAGCAGTTTCTGAAGACTTGGCTAGGGCTGGAGGAGGTGCTTCCAAGCTCATGACAGGTGCCATGGGTCTTAAGATTTACAGCCAATTAGAGGATCTCTTTTTTCATATGATAATTTTATTTTTTCTTGACTTTTCTCTTGCTACAGTTCACAAAAACATTAGGTTTAAGTTATTAAATCAAAGTCAATATTTTCATCACATCTTTACAGACAAGCACACTCTACTCGACTAGTATTAACAAAGTAAAGACCTGGTTGAGGAGTGGCCACTAATAGGAGCTGGGGAGATAGCTCAGCGGACAAAGTATGAGGCCCTGAGTATGTAAACCTACTATCCATGCAGCTGGGTGTGGTAGCGCACACGTGGATCCTAAACTTCAGAGCTGGATACAGAAGGGGCTTGGAGGAGGCTCACTGGCCAGCTAATGTAGCTGTTACAGGTTCAGTGGCATGGAAAAAAAGTAAGGTAGAGGAGGCAGCAAGATGGCTCAGAGTAAAAACATTGCTGCCAAGCTGGACCAATTGGGTTAAATCCCTGGAACACACATAAAGGTGCAAGGAGAGAACTAAGTTCACAAAGTTGTTCCCTGACCTCCACATATACACTCTCTGTCCCACCTCTCTCTCTCTCTCTCTCTCTCTCTCTCTCTCTCTCTCTCTCTCTCTCTCTCTCTCTCTCTCTCTCTGTCTCTCTCTCTCTCTCTCTTTCTCTCTCTCTCTCATACACACACACACAAAGAACCCAGACTAAGGATGCATATAGAAACCTTAAGGAAATCCACTCACTGGTGTGTTAATAATTGAAAATTACAGTGTCAGACACATAATACCTCCCTATGAGTCAGGGACAGCAAAGGCTATTGCCAACACTCTTGGGTTACCCACCAAAAGTATATGGTAAGACCCTTTTGCTGAAGCTACCACTCACCCTTGTGCATGACATAGAGAAATCAACTTATAAGTGTAAATGTTCCCTGCTAATTAGCTTACACATGCTGGAAAGTACTATGCAGGCTACTTGGAGAGAAAAGACATCAACGGTCTTACACATCACTGGATCTTACAAACTACAATAATTACCTGATAACAAGATGTGCTCACTGGTACAATAATAGCATGATACAATGGTAACCAACAACTTCCTGATTAGATATAAGGCCTATGCCACAGAAGTATTTCATGCCTGGTACTCTAATCCCATTAAAAAGCCTATGACCGAGAAGATCATAGGCCCTATGGTGGTAAATACTATTGTTTCAATAAACATCCATGTTATCAACAGCAGTCTGTGTTTATGCCCATAATTTTTTGCTTATTTCAACTTTAGTCAGTGAAGCTTCTGTTTACAGTGGATAGCAGTTAATGCAGAGGGTCATAACTGACCAACATACAAAATGTAAATAACTGAATGTTCAACTATAGATGGGTCTGTCCAGAACATCTCAGGACAAAAGAAGAATGTAAGAGCTAGCAAATGGGAAGGGGGGCTATGAAAGGATGATTTCTGGATATGGCATGGCTTAATGCATGCATCAACCCATAGCAGCCTCGGGTATCAGCACAAGACCTGTGCAAGATCAAGTCTGTCAAAATTCCAGCGTGGATTTATAAGCCTCCCAAGGGCCCCCCACTACCAGATGAGGAGCTATTGGAGTTAACAGCTGCTGAGGGAGAACCACTCTCTTTAGGGCCCTCACTACCGACAGACTGTTTATGTCCCAGTAGATGGCCAAACACCCCTGCACATATGAGCAGTACTAACTGGACTCAGGTAACTTGGAAGGGAGAAAGGGTGTCAAAGGGTTAGGAGGAGACCAAACTAGGAAGTGGAATAGATATAATCAACATTTAATGTATGAATGTATAAAATTTTCAAAAACAGGTTAGTATTTAAAAGGAACTACCTGTAACAAATACCTAGCTACAAAATAAATAGATGAAATATTTTTAAAAGGTGGGCAACAAAATTGAGTGTAGTGGTGTATGTCTTTAATCCTAGCACTAGGAAGTCAGAGGCAAGCAGATCTCTGAACCATGCCAACCTCTGTCCTCAGTACATACCAACAAAGTCATACGCACCTACATCTACACACACACACACACACACACACACACACACACACACACACACACACACACACACACACCAAAAATTGCCTGGTATAGTGGTATATGACTATAATTCCAGCACTTGCGAGGTTAATGCAGAAGATTATGAGTTTGATGCCAGCCTGGACTATGTAGCATGTTTTAGGACAGCATCAGCAACATAGCAAGACCTGCCTCAAAAATACAGTAAAATAGCAAAAAAAAAAAGATATGAAAGTTTTATACTTCTTAATTCCAAACTTACTACAAAGATAATAATTACACAGTGGTGCTGGCATAAAGAGAAACAAAGATGAGCGGAGCAGAGTGCCTAGAGATAAACATTCGTATATATGGTTGCTATGGTCACAAGTTTGTATCCCTGCAATTCTAAAATCATAATTTAAAATTCTAAGCCTCCAAGGCAAAGGTATTAGGAGATTTTTGCCTCAGAGAGGTTATTAGAGTTCAGACCAAAGTCTCATGAGTAAGATTAATGTTCTTATTAAAAAGAAAAAAGAAAATGACTCAGAAAGATCCCTTGTTCCTTCTCGTGCAAGGGCATAGCAAGAAGGCACCATCTATGGACCAGACAGCACACTCTATGTAGATATAAAATATTGTGCCTAAATTTGGATGTCCTAGTCTAAATAACAGTGAGAAATCAATTTCTGCTAATTATAGGCTACTCAATTTATGGTGTTGTGTTACAGGAGCTAAAACAGCCTCAGGCAATGGTTGAATGACTTAAAGAGAGTTCCATAACCACACAATAGGGAAAGGACAGTTTTCAAAAAACAGTATCAGGAAAAATTAGTACCCACATGCAAAAGAATGAAACAAGACTTTTGTCTTATGTGTATACAAAATTAGCCCAAAGCTAAGACATAAACATAACACCTAAGATGATAAAAGTCTTAAAGAAAATACAGAGGAAAAATTTATGATGTTGAATTTGTCAGTAATCTCTTCCATTTGTTACCTAAAGCACAGGCAAAAAAAGTAAAAGTGTAAAACCTAAACAAGTATTAGTGAGGCTATGATGAACCTATGTAACCTGTAGATGGGAATGTACAAGAATATATGTAATGTCAACTGAAATCAATATAGTAGTTCTCAAAAACACCTGAAAATAAAACTAGGATACAGCTCTGTGGTGAAATGTTTATCTAGTACTGCATTCATGCGGACCTGAATTTGATCCCCATCATCACAAATACATATATACCTGCATTCAGTCTATCCTCATGTTCTTACATTTAGCCTTTCTTCTTGTCTTAATTTTATAGTCTACCCCATGCCCCCAAACACATATATATGTATTACTGATTAAATCCAACATATGAAAGAAAATGCAAGTTGTAAAAGATGATATAAAGCTAACTGTTTTTCTAGTTCTAATTCCATCAAGGATTTTTAGGTGGTGAATTAAGTGCATAAAACATATTTGACACTGAATGTGTAAAATTTAATATGAGGCTTCACAGCTTGCATTCTGAAAGCCTACTCTAACTATATGGTAGTTCCCTGAGTTGTATAAACTTTGGGTCTGGTTGATTTGGTGTGTGATGTTTTTATTTATTTGTAAGGTTTTTAAATAATAAACCTTATAAATATATATATATATTTATTACAGATAAATAAGCACCATATGATCCAGTAACTTGATTCCTGGATATATAGACAAAAGAATTAAAGACAGGGCTATAAATATACTTGTAAATCCATGTTCTAAGCCATATTATTTATAATAACCAGAAAGATGAAAGCAACTCAAGTATCTATTGACAGATGAATGTATGTCATCCAACTCAACTTGCAGCTATAATTCAACCATAAAGAAGGACATAAGGTATATGGATGAATCTTTCAGAATTTTATGCTAAAGAATGTCAGTTACAAAAACACAGATACTTTATGACTCCACTTATAAGGAACCTGGGATTGTAAAAGTCATAGAAATAAAAAAGAGAATGGTAGTTGCCTGGAGCTTAGGGAAGGGACAATAAGTAATGTCCCTCTTTTGATATAAGATGAAGTTTTGCAATATGAAGAGTTCTTGGATACTGGTTGGTTTGTGCAACTGTGTTAATATACTAAACACATACACACAGAGAGAAAGAGAATCATCTTGTCCTATTGTATAAATAATACTTAGTGAAGATAAAATCTATTCATCACCATATGTAGCTTTAAAATTCTTACCTGGTTTGTTTGTGTTAATTCATTAATTGAACCTTTAAGTTTTTGTATTTCCTGCACATACACAGCAACTTCTTGGGGGCCTTTGGCAAGCTCACTCCTTAGTTGGCTTATTGTAGCCTGAAATGTAAAGTAAAAATTAATGCAAACAAAATGGAGGTACACAAAGATTTGAAGACAGTATGTTTTCTTTTGCTGGTGCAGTTAAATTGAAGCAATACTTGAAACTTTTCAACTTAATTCTTTATTCTAACACCATTAACAGTCCCACCTAAAACTTTTTGCTTAAAATTAATTTTAAAAATACCATCAAGATATGTAAATTCATTTATTTAATGATAAAGTCAACTGAAATGCTGACATCTTTATCTGTCTGGTTAACATCAAACTGCAATTTTCAATTTCATGGTCTTTTTTTTTTTTTTGAGCCTCCTTTAAAAAGGAAAACAAATTATGTCTAGAGTTTCTCCAAGATGCCGCATCAGAAACCTTTCCATTCATTTCAAGACATGCATATTCAAATATACAGTGTGGTTTGATTTGTGTAAATCACCTTTCTGATTATAATAGTGTATTTATCCAAACAAGTTACCATGCTAAGGTCATATGTAGTTTCATTAAGCCAGACCACTCTATAGTCAAGTGTAACAGTTGAATAGAAACTTGTCTTAGTGAACTTAAACATTTTAAAAACAAAACAATGTTTATTGTTCAGATAGTTTGTTCACTTAAAAATAACAAGAGAAAACCAGATGGGCAAATATCTTTAAAAGCCACACCTGTAATACACAAAGCTCAAACTTTAGAAACTGATACTATGAAATTTGCATGTCTAGTATTTTTTGCTGACTCTATTTTTACATACTTAAAGTTAGTAATTTCCATTGCATGTGTTCTTTATGATGAATAAACTTTATAACATGTATAATCATAATTTTTGCTCTTAACACATCATCAGTACATATATATATATATCAGCGTGTGTGTGTGTGTGTGTGTGTGTGTGTGTGTGTGTGTGTGTGTGTGTGTGTGTGTATAAAGAACACAAAGTAGTCCTTACATCACAAAGAAGAAACTCTGGAGGGATCTGGTTTGCTATGGTAGCAATAAAGGAACCCCAGACCTTCTCACTACTTTCTTATGAATCCATAGTACACATAACTTATTTTTTAAGTATTTTCAGTAGTGTTGTATCTTCATCCATTTAGAAAACAATGGTTTCAAATTTCAGAAGTCAATTAAACACATTAATGACTATATTGGATGATCAAGCACTTGGACTTATTTTAATAAGCATAAATTAAGAAAACAAGTTTGATTTAATGTTTAAGTGTGATCACTAGGAAAAACACGTGGGAAGAGTGCACACCAAAAGGTAGACATGAGTTACAAGGAAAAGGAGGGAAGAGGATTATATGAGACTTTCCCTTTCCCTGCTGCACATTATCAATCATTTCCATCTTTTAAAATGATAATGCATTGTTCTGATTTTGGGGAAAATAATGATTAAAGAAAATGGGAAGGACATAAATATGTTTCTCTTCAGATAGTAGCACAGTTGACATACCAAGGCCTCTTTCCTCCTGTGCCGACTTTCCTTGCCATTTAATAGCCCAAGTTCATCTATGGCTGCTGTTCAACACATGCTATAATCACTTTCCAGGGTTCCCCTTTACAGAACGTCATGCTAATTCCCACTTACTATATCCTCCTTACTACCATCCTCAAGATCTTCCCCCACCATGCTAGCTACAATTGCCCCACACTATTCCCAGTGCTACCACAGCACACATCCTGCCTCCCAACCCCCTTCTTCAAAGAACCTGTCACTTCACTTCCTAGTGTGGTGTGGTTTGATTATAAAAACATCTAGACATCTCAAAAGGCTCGTTGGTTAAGCCTTGATCCAGTAGATCTAATCATTAAGAGGTCATTGGATCATGAGGACTCTTACCTAATCAAATGATTAATCCATTGACTAATTCATGATTCGATCATGATGCAAACTTTCAGAGGTAAAGTTGGAAGTAGTCACTAGGGGCATCTTGATCCAGTTACCCCTCTGTGCTTCCTTGGCTACCAGAAGTAAGCAGCCTCTGCCACAGTAATGGCTACCATGATATTCTAAAGCAAAGGATCCAGTCAAACTGGACTGAATCCATGAGAAAAAAGAGTGTTTCCCCGTTTGTAATTGCTTCTCTCAGGCACTGTCACAGCAACAGAAAGCTAACTAACGCGCAAGTCTAGACTGGCTTTGTCACATGTTATTTGATTCCCACAAAGGAATGAGCCCTATGAGAGCAAGTACTGCCTTAGTGGTGTATTCCTAACACCTAAGATTGTCTCTGCTGCTTAATATGTATTCAAAAAATATTCAATAAGTGATCATCCCCTGAAAGATTTAATAAACATTTATTCCCACGAGAACAGCATATGAGACCCTAACAAAATTTTTATTTTCCTTGATGCTATGTCATTGGGCTTAACACTGAATTTTTAGTAGAACCTTTAAGTTACAAATAATAAAGGAGCAATATTTTGACTAGATATTCTATTCTATAGAATTTAATTATCGCTTAAATATTCTATTGCCAAGAAATAATCATTGAAAATGGATAAAAACTTGTTTAGCAAAACAAAATGAGCATGTCTGTGAAGTTCTAAGATTGCTTTAAAAAACAAAATTGCAAATGACAATAGAAAGTGGTAAATTACCAAAATTAACAAGTGTCCCAAAGCACATTACCTCCAAATTAAGCATCTCCATTAGAAAGCAGAAAAAAATAACAAAATGATGGATGAAAGGTGGAGGACAGTACTGACAAAAGTGCACAATGAGATTACAATAAAAACATCCAAACATACATACAAATATGATCTCTATTAAAATGTACTCTTAAATAGCTATATAGGATTATAATCATACTTTTTCCATACTTGCATAAACATTTTTGCTCTTAAAACTAAGATTATTTGGAATACAAATAAGATTCTTTAAAAATCATTTCCATGAAATACCACATTGTATCTAAGCTTATTGCAGCTTTCTTTGATATTTATGTCAATGAAGACTTTTAGAAATAATTTTATATCTTTAAAATATCCAACTATTTACTAAGCACTTCAAATGCTTTAGAATGAAAATAATATACTTCCATAAATATATAGGCAAAATGTAATGAGTTCATAAGGTATGTAAGCTTCAATGAAAATAAACCAAAGGTATATATAATAATAATGTAATGATAATAATAATAATAATAATAATAAAATACTCCAGATTATAGATCATCAATCCCAACTAGAAAACATTTGATAAATCTTTGTCCTTCTGGCTTCCTTAATGGCTTTTTGATGTGTTTTTATTCTGACTTAGTAAAAGTAACCACATCTATAATTTTTTCTAGTAAAATTTTAAATGCCATAATTCATTAATATACTTTGTTATAGAATATAATTTTAATTAGGCAAAAATGTGTTATATTTATGTATGCTGTAGAATATTACTATAACTATGTAAAGGTGTGTCACTTTTATTTATGTTGTATTTGTATAATTATGAAAAGCTGTTTTACCTTGCCGGCCTAAGGCACATAATTAGTCTCATAAAGAACTAAACAGCCAATAGCTAGGCAGAGAAAGACTAAGTGGGGCTGGCAGGGAGAGAGAATAAAAGGAGAAATGTAGGTTCAAGAAAAAAGATGATGACAAGAGAGGGAGGAGGAGAAGGAAATGAGGGACATGCCCAGAGCCAAAAGCCAGGTAGCCATCAGCTAGTCAGACACAGAGACAGCAAGAAAGTAACAAAAAGTAAAAAGCCTGGAGGCAAAAGGCAGATAAAGAGAAATAGGTTAATTTAAGTTACAAGAGCTAGCCAGAAATGTGCCTAAGCTAGGCCAAGCATTCAACACTAATAGAAAGTCTCCATGTCATGATTTAGGAGCTGGTTGGTGGCCTAAAAGAAAATATTTAACTGAGAATAATAGAATGGAATTTTTTAAAAAGTCACATAATCATAGTAAGCAGATACCAAACAACAAATGATGTTTCAAACAAATATATAGGATGAAAAACGTATGCTGATTTTTTCATATGGAAACAATATTGGATACAATTTAAAAATATGTTCAGCTAGGTAGGCAGTGGTGGCACACACCTTCAATCCCAGCATTAGGGAGGCAAGGGCAGGTGGATCTCTCTGAGTTGGAGGTCAGCCTGGTCTACAAAGTGAATTCCAAGACAGCCAGAGACATTACACAGAGAAAACCTTGTCTCAAAACAACAAACAAACAAAAACCAAAGCAAAACAAACATACATACATATAGATAAATATCCTCAGTTATTATTCAATACAAAACAACATACAATTTTGGCAAAACACTAGGACAAAATTAGTAGCATAAAAAGCTTGGCATGATGGCTCACTCTAATTCTATCTTAGGAGGCGAGTTGCATATGAGACAGAGGACAGCCAGGGATATACAGTCAGTTCCAGGTTAGCCTGGGATAGAATGGGATCATGACTCAAAATGAAAGCAAAAAACAAGGAAACAAAAAGGTTAGCAGTACAAAGTCACTTATAGGACAATTAGGAGATAAATCAAAATGAAAGACAGGATGCTACAGGAGGAACACTGGACCTGAGTAAGGCCTAGGTTATTCTAGACATGTGACCTGAACGCAAGTTACACCTCATTGAACCTCAGATTCCTAATGTGTAAAATAGGTCTGATAACTTTACACAATCAAATTACACATTTTTAAAGCTAACACAGTATCCAAAATGACCTAGGAGTATCCAAAATCTAGTGGTGTCCAAAAACTCCATTTCTAATGGTAATAATAGTCTGACTCCTAAAGTTATTAAAAATATTTAAAATATCTTAGCTTCTTACTAAGCACTGCATATTTATCAAATAAGTAGAGATTAAATGTTATACTTGATTCTCTAAGTAAATATACAGTTTAATTAGTAAATAACTTCTTCAATTAATCAAAAAGAATGAATGTTCTAAATTTATCTCAAATTGCCTGACGTAATTTTTGTGAAAACTTGACCAAAGTTGAGTGAAAAGAACTAAATTATAACTCATTTTCCTCCTCCTCCTCTTTTAAAATT